AAATTTCACAAAACATGTTATGAATGCGATTTTTACCCGATTTCATGAAACTTGAACCAAAATATATAAAATGTGCCTTGTTTTTCTATTTTTCAATCCAGAATCGCTTAAATTTGATAAGAAAAATAAGTACATAAATGGACTTATCAACATAATATCCCAAAATTTAGAATGAAGTTGAATAAAGATAGTAGCTTTCACTAGCATTGCTTGAGGGTTAGAGAAAGTTCTTTACATCATTCAAATGCTTCTAACCCATTTTTTTTGAGTTAATTATCCTAGGTATGACTAAAACTCAATGAGTTTCCCAAACTATGATCAAACTAGTTTTTTGCTCAAAATAATATTATAATTCTTTATATTTAATTAAAATTCGTAATTAATAATTAATGATTAATTTTTATGGACAAATATACCCTTTTGCTTATACCTATAAAACCCTAACCTCCTACTCATTTTCTACAACCCTAGCTACAACCTCCCAACACCCCACCCTCGTCCAGCCGCCCCACCATCCAGCCGCTGCCGCACGTCATCCAGCCGCCGCCGCACGTCATCCAGCCGCCGCCGAAAAAAGGGTGTTGAAGGGAAGCCGTGTTTTAACAAACTTGTGTGCGGTGAAGCTTCTGTTTTGATGCATATCTGAACGAAGAAGGTAAACAAGCCGGTAGATCTGATGCTCGAAACCAACGCAATTCAAACAGATCTGCCAATGGATGAGTCCAGTAAAGGGAAGCCGTGTTTTTCCTCATAATGCTCTTATTCCAAGTCGTCGAGATTCGATTAACGTCATGTGCGCTAAACTGCTGCGACAGACGCCGAGGAAGAGATTAAGGTCGGGTTCAGTGCTGGTGGACGCTGGTCAGATATTTTGGCAAGCCAGTTGGAGCAGGAACTCGATAAAAACCTCGGTGTGAGAACTTTGTGAAATTATGAAATTGCCTTATCGTTTTGTTTTGTTACATGCCGTCCACATATGCATTATTAGTATATTGAATTTAGTATTTTGCCCATTAAATATGGGCATTGAACACACCATCATTGTACATTTCAATAAATGCTGATTATGGACAATGAATATGTATGGTAATAGACATATTGTACATGGCAGTGAATGAATGCATTAACAAATTTTGTTGTGCATTGATTATGACCGGTATTGCAGTAACACAAAGCAGTGATATCATCATGAAATTTAATAAACTTAATTAAACGTAAAATAATAAAATTATTAAATCTAAAAAATAAAAAATAAAAACAAAAATAAGTTCTTCAAATGAATGAGAAGAGAATTAATTTTGACGGAAGTGCAGTGATTATTATCGGATGTGCAGTAAAAACGTGCATTAATTTTGTGCAGTGATGACAATATAAAGTGCAGTAATTTTAATTGGACGAAATTAGTGCAAAATGCACATATTTTAAATAAGGGTATTTTTGTCATTCAACATTTAAATATAAACGTATTTTCTATTTTTTTTTTGGATTTTTGGTCATACAAAGGTATAAAAACTAGTTAGGTCATAGATTGAGAAACTCATTGAGTTTTAGTCATATCCCGGTAAATTTCCCTTTTTTTTTGCAAGATGGTTACTGATGAAATATTTTGTCACATAAGGTTAAACACCAGCGAGGCAGTGAGTGGAAGCATCATGTGTTATCAAGAAAGATCCACCTATTTTGCAGCTTAACCAAATAAATGCATAAACCATTGTCCTCGAAAAGTAACTCTTGGATTGAATCAATGGCATAAAATCATGATAAATTTGTTTAATAGACTTTCTTGTTTTATTTCATTAAACATAAATTAGAGTTTCCCAATTGCAATTCATACAAGTAACACACTAACACCACAACAATGATGTAACTCGAAGCTTTATGCCTTCCAACTCATCTTCCCAGTGTTCCTCTTCCCTGCATGAGTCTCTCCAGTCTATATGCATAGGTGAGGCTAAGAGCAATTCATATTTTTAGGCACCCAAGAGACCGTAAAGCGTAACTTAACAAATAAAGATATCAGATATAGATTGCTAGTGTGAATTAATCAGAGCAGCTACATGCAGGGCATCTTTTAAAATATAACCAAAGATGGTTACCAATTTGGAAATGTCCAAAGAGCTGAGAAGCCAACCTACGAAGCACATCAGCATCATCTATAGCCATTGGCAGCTAGTTTCAGAAGTAGATTTGAAAGATAAGAAAAGGTATAAATTTCAGAAGACATAAACCCATCGGATATTCTTTAGGAACCAGGATAGCCAGAAAATAAATTTCAACCCACCGTTGTAGAGTAACTCAAAGACACCTAAACGGCTAAACCCGAAGACCTTAACGTCTTGTGTGCTACGTACTTCTCTACAATGTATCCATAATTATACTATTTGACTTGCAGACTGTTTCACTTCACTAGAGTTTTGTATCATATCCCAGTACGGTTGTACTTAGTATTGCTGCAGCTGGAACTCACAATGGCTACATGGATTGAGTATCAGAATACATGATTAAATTAGTGACTTAATACTCACTGATAGAGAAGCTATGGTTGGTTTAAACTTTTTTGCCTAAAAATGGTTGGTTTACACATTCAAATTTGATAGCCCAGACCATCTTTTTTTAAAAATGGAAATACAAAGAAAGATAATAAAATAAACCGTAGAAGCAAAGCATTTGTCTTTGAGTGGCTTTGCACTAGCAGATTCAAACTTGGCAATGCAACTTCAAAACCAGTAATTTTATATCAAAAGAAAGCAAGGCTAGAGAATAATGTCTAAAAGATAATTTACCTTATTATTCATGTGCTTTACAAACTTGGGAGCAGTGTACTATTCTAATATAAGGTGATTGAAAAAATTCATTCCCTCCATCAAACATGAATCATCTCCCATAAAAAATATAATTAAGCTTATTCCTTTTTAAAAAAACATATAGGATGGAAGATCATTCCAATCAAAGGTAAGATAAAAACTATAAATAAATATAAGATTTATAATCATGCAGTTCTTTAAAATCTAACACTAACTAATAGAAAATAGACACAAATTAGTTAAACAGAACCCCCCTCCCCTGAAGAACCATAATTTAAACAAGTTGAATTTTGCTTCCATCAACAGATCAGGCGACTGAAAGCAAAATCCTAATTTGATGGTACTTTTCAAAGACAAATTCGAAAACTTAATGAAAGAGGAGATGGGTGATAATGGAGGAAGTAACTTTAACCTTCCAGACAAAGGAGTTGAACATGTATATTTATATACAGGTGGCGATTACGCACAACAAAAAATTAGAGATGGTAACACCTTCCTTGGATTGAGATGCCGGATTTTCATTCCTCCGACCCTTTCCCTGCTTTCTTCGCCTCCCACAGTCCAAGACCTCTCCAGCGGCCTTCTTTTAGGCCAAGACTATCTTTCGTAAAATGATAAGGCCGGGGACGGGGAAGGACTTTTCTGCAATAAACTATTTTTAATAAAAAAAAACCTGATGTGGATTACAGAACCAATCAGATGCTGCCAAATGTGAAATGCACCAAAACATCCCTCAAAGCATATGCATGGTAAAATTTTCCTAAAAATTATTACTTGCGTTAGTGGATTTTACATTTTAGAAAATAAAAATGGTTTAACGAGTTGTATCGATAAAATCAAATAAAAAATACTCCGTATACGATAAGTATTTTTTTTTAAAGCAATATACGATAAGTATATAAAATTAAATAGTAATCATGATGTCCTTAATTGTCATTTATCAAATTATCACCCAATTGTAAACAACCATTTAACCAAACATCATTTTACAAACCGCTAATACTATCAGCCGAAAAAAACCGCCAACAGAATCTGCTATCATCAATCAACTAAAAGAATCAGTCAACCGCTAACAGCTAACCGCCAATTGCCAAACACCCACGAAGACAATCTCATGAGCCTAGTTAGCTTTTTTCCGTTTTAAACGCGTTTTAAACACGTACCGTTTTTTGACCCAAAAAAACACGTTTAAAAAGGGGGGAAATGTCGGTCCGTTTAAAAAGGAAAAAAAACTCCTACTTCCCGTATAAAACATATTTTTCCCGTATTTTACAAAAAACATAAACATGAATTGACCAATTGAATGAACGCACTAAATGCAGAGAAGATCAACAATAGTGTAAAAGTAAAAATGAAAACGTCCTCCCCATGATCTCGGGTTTTTGTATTGTTACAATGCAATTATTAAATACTAAAATTAATTGCATGATGGCTAAAGCTAGCATCCTGAAATACTAAAACTTACGTAGTAATATACTACAAGATTTCTGATGTTTTTTCAAGCTAGCATATCAAAATTAAGATTTTTTCTAAACCTACCGTTTTTTTAGCATAAACTTTTACACAAACAATAATAAGTGTAGCAATCACACAACTTTTGTCATATGTCATCTGTCATCTTAATGAAAATGATGAGTTTAACTTGAGTGTTATTTGATAATCATATAAAGATAATGATTTTTTGACATTATTTTTCAATATTATGTCTTGGACTTAATTACTGTTTTTATTTTTGTCATCGACTTATGTAATTACGAACTATTCTTGTATGTAGTAATGAGATTTGCTACTTGAATATGTGTATACTTTTATTTCTTTTTTACTTTATATGTTATTTTATGAAATATATCATTTTAATGTTCAAAATAATACCCGTAATTTTCGTCCGAATTTTTGTAATAGACGACGTATTATACATGTATACGTATTTACACGTTTTTTAAAAGTCAACGTTTTTTTCAATGAATTTTTGACCGTTTTTTTCATCCATGCTACCGAATAAAACGCGTACATATTAAATCTCGTTTAATTCCCATACCGTATTTAACTAACTAGGCTCATGAGATAGGGTGAGATTTTTTCTTTTTAATTGGGACGACGTCGTTATGATGATTGGCTAGCAAAAAAAATCATGGTTATTTGGGCCAACAACGGCGAAGGCCCAACAGCCCAAATCCCAATTGGCAATCAACCTCCAAGCAACTCGCAACCCACAAACAGCCAAGCAGCAGAAGCGTAGAGCCATCAGCCACACCAAATCGCCAGGTTGCCGACCGTCATGCTCTTCCCTCCGTTCGGCGTCCGCAGTCCGCCGTCTGAAGGTAAGTTTTCCAATCTTTAGGTATTTGGTATTTCATTATGGAATTTTTACAATTCATAATTATGATTTGAAAAATATGTACACATTTAGAGTATACTTCATCCGTTCTTTTTTAATTGCAATAATACACTTTTCACGCTTGCCAACGCACAAATTTGACTGTTAATATCTTTCATTCCTTATTAGTAAAAAAATTAAAAAATCAGATTTTGAAAATTTATTATGAGAGGAATTTTAAAATATTTTTTAAAAATTTAATTCATAATACATTAATAAATAAAATGTAGTCAAAGTAGAATCTGTGAATAGTGGAAAAAGTCTTACGTTGCAACTAAAAGAGAACGGAGGTAGTATTAGTTACTGATTTATAGTGTATTATTGTATTATATTAAGATGACAGCAAATTACATATTATTATTGATATTAAATTATGAATTTATAATAATTTGAATTAATTATTTTTGTTTTCTGTAATTATTATTATTAGGGAATATCAATTGGGAATTTCCCCCGAATTAAAGCACGGATAAGTTCAGGTGCTAGTTCTTCAAATCTTTCTGTTTGAACTACAACTATAGATACAGATGCTAGTGAGAGTGGGAGTAGAATTAGACAATCTATTTGGCATCATTACATTAGCGTTTTTTATTAAAGTTATTATGTTTCATTGGTATGATTTGTTAAGAGAATGCTATTATTAATTTTGATGGTTTACAATCTACAAAAATCTCATTTTCATTAACTATTTACAAAAATCTCAAATAATTTCGCACATAACAATTATTTACAGAATAAAACATTATTTTAATATTGGACAAAACACTCTCGCGCCTTGCACGAGTATACGCTAGTATTCAAGTACAATCATTGGTATATTCTCCAGATATGAATCGTTTACTAAAAATAACTACACGAGTTAGCTATTAGAAAAAAGAGTTATTCTTGGTGTACCCCATTTTGGGCTATCTCATATGCAAGGTTTTAAATAGCCGTAGCGGCAGCGGTAGCGGTAGCGGTCATCGCGTTAGCGGCCTGTAGCCGACTGTAGCGGTTGCAGCGGCGCAAAACATAAATGTATTTTTTCACATCATTCACACAACATTTAATTTTGAGTTTCACTCCATGCATCACCATTAATGTATTTTTTCACATCATTCACACAACATTTACACATTTACACATCAAACAGTTCGTGATGTACTGCCGGATATGTCAATAGCGGACTGTAGCGGGCGGCGTAGCGGGCGGCGTAGCGGGCGGCGTAGCGGGCGGCGTAGCGGATTTTTCCTGTGAATTTGAAATCACACACGAATAGCGAGCCGTAGCGGTAGCGGCCCCTACCGCGACTGCTATATAGCAGCTGCTGTAGCGGTAGCGGGCCGCTATTTCAAACCATGCTCATTTGTACCTCACCTTTTGTGTGGTTCACAAAAGTCCTTCATAAATTAATTGCCCCATTAATAAAGAATTGCCTTTTGTGAATCACACAAATAGAGGAGTATAAATGGGGTACCCAAAATACGGTTCCTCTAGTATTTTTCTAAAAAAAAATTAGTTTTATTTTGAAACAAAACATAATGAGTCATATGTGTGAAATTAGTCTTTATTTTACTCTTACATGGGCAATTTCTTTGGGGAAGTGTGACTCATTGCCATTACTAAAGTATACACCTATTGCTCAAAATCAGCTAATGGGAGTTCCATGTGAAGTCTATGAGCTATGGAGTATTATTCTTGCATAGTTTGTAATCCGTAGCACTACGAAATAACAGTATTGTTATCACAGATTAATTTTGTTACGAATTACGTTCACGAGAGGTTTGTAATGATTTGTATGGTTGAGTCCAGAGGCGGAGTCAAGGAGGTCAGGGTGGTCAGACGACCCCGCTGAAAGTTCGAGAATGTAAAGCTCTGAAATACCTTTGATTTGATATATTATGGGTCACGTAACTCATTACGAGTAAAAAGTTATGACTTTTGGAAAAATCAGCATCATCTTAACTTAAAATAAACAAAATTTATTTGATTTGTGGTATTGATTATATTCTTTAATTTAAAAATAAAACACCTTATTCTCTTATTAGTTGTGTGAAATTTGTGATACATTACACACACACACACACACACACACACACACACACACATATAGAGGAATGCTCAGGTCCATCCGGAGGGACGGGAGGCTCTGTACGAAGTTTACTGTTTGGGGCCCTTCCCGGTGGAATTTTTTGATGAAATTTTTTGAGCATGTTCTTCATGAAGTCGAGTTTATCCATACCAAATTTCAGCTAAAAATTCAACCGGTAAGACAGTCAAATGATTTTTGGAAGTTAACTGCGCACTTTATATACATATAAAACACAGTCATCTTCCAAATATCATTTGACTGCCTTCCCGGTTGAAATTTTAGCTGAAATTTGGTATGGATAAACTAGCCTTCATGAAGAACATGCTCAAAAATTTTCATCAAAAAATTCCACCGGGAAGGGCCTCTGATGGCCTCGGCCGGACAGAGGCTCCTGTCCATCCGGATGGACAAGATCTTTTTCCTATATATATATATATATATATATATATATATATATATATATATATATATATATATATATATCAATACATTAAACCCGCTAGGCACATAAGGGTTCGAAACTCAATGGAATGAGTTTCAGCCCTGATTACTCCAGGCTCCCCAAACCCCCTCCCCCAAACCCCCTGGAGTAATATATATATATATATATATATATATATATATATATATATATATATATATATATATATATAGAATTTGGATCAAATAAAAAAATGTCTTAACGTGTAAAATGAGAATTAATCTCAGCCGTCACAATAACCCCTATCTGATGCACAATAACCCCTATCTGATGCACTTTCGAATAAACCTTATTTGATGCACTTTTCGGAAAGTGCATCAAATAAGGTCTATTCGAAAGTGCATCAGGTAGGGGTTATTGTGCATCAGATCGACAGTTTGGACGGCTGAGATTAATTCTCATTTTACACGTTAAGATGTCTTCTCATTTGAACTCATCCATATATATGTATATATATATATCAATATATATATATATATGTATATATATATATCAATACATTAACTGAAAAAGTCTCATTAAACTACCATTTATCTCAACTACATATAAAACAAGGCTTATTACACAAAATAAATCCAAAGTTTAGACTTTGTGACAAATCTAGTCTATCGTATACATAATTTCTTTAAAGCATCCAACGTTTTAATAACTATGACAAATCTATAATCCGTCCACTTTGATTTCCTCGGTCCGTTAAGTGCCTTAATATTTTGTACACCTAGGATTTAGTCTTCTTATTTGTAATTTGATGTGTCATTTTAATATATATTTATAAAAAACAAGAATGTATGTCATTTTGATATTTAAAAAAACATAACACATATTATTCTCTCCTTTGAATCCGTCATCACTGGTAACCCCACGGTAGCAACTACTTCAGGGCTAAACAAAATTAGTCTAGCTACTCCTCATGACCCTTCAGACTGTTGGAATAAAGGAGTTTATGAGTATTGTATTTAGGTGATTGTGTGTGGAAGAGAGAATTTTAGGGATAGATGATTTTGAAAGAACTTGGAACTTTTATCGATTTGGAGCTTTGGCTTGTATTACAAATGAGTGAGGAGTGCTCTATTTATAGGTCTCATAGGATCCTTCTAGGCACTCCTATTTCCTTAAGATTCTACAATATTCCATATAATTCTAGATTAGGAACATTCTAGAATTATTTAATAAGTGCATTGACTAAAGACTACTCTAGATCTTTCTTTACTAACTCTAACTTATGGGCTAACTAATTTATTATTTCTCATACAACTATTAGCCCAATAAGTTAACTTCTAATGGACCCAATTATTGGGCTAAGCCAAGTTTAATTTCTAACATCCCCTCTTAAACTTGACTTAGCAACACCAAGTAGATTCCGCATCTTTGCAAAGACATCATGCTTGAGTGGCTTTGTGAGAATATCAGCGACTTGGTCTTGAGTCTTCACATACTCTACTTGAACTTCCTTCTTCGCTATCTTTCCCCGGATGAAATGATATCGAGTGTCTATGTGCTTACTTCGATCATGAAACACTGGATTCTTTGCTAATGCAATAGCTGACTTGTTGTCCACAAATATTGTTGTTGCTTCTTCTTGAGACATGCCGAGAGCTTGCAATATGTAGCGGAGCCAAATTGCATGACAAACACTTGATGTTGCTGCAACATACTCGGCTTCACAAGTGGACGGAGTGACTATTGATTGCTTCTTTGAAACCCATGTGAAAGCGGTGTTTCCCAGGTAAAACACGAACCCAGTTGTGCTCTTGCGGTCATCGATATCTCCACCCCAATCACTATCACAATATCCAACTAGCTTAAATTCATCAGATGGAGGGTAAAACAGCCCATAGTCGGCGGTGTCTTTGAGATATCGCAAAATCCTTTTTGCGGCCTTCAAATGAGTTGTTGTGGGGGCCTCCATGAATCGACTAACAAGTCCAACACCAAAGAGAATATCCGGTCTTGTACATGTTAAGTATCTTAAGCTCCCCACAAGACTCTTAAAGTAAGTTGGATCAATCAATTTTTCTTTATCATACCTTGATAGCTTTAGTCCACTTTCAACAGGTGTACTTACAGGTTTGGAGTCCTCCATGTTAAACTTCTTGAGTACTTCTCTCGCGTATCCTTCTTGAGTGATGAATATACCATCATCCATTTGCTTCACCTCGATGCCAAGATAGTAACTCATAAGCCCAATGTCAGTCATCTCGAACTCCCTTGTCATGACTTGTTTAAACTCATCGAACATCGTCATGTTATTACCTGTAAAGATGAGATCGTCCACGTATATGCACACGAGCAATATGTCTCCTTGATGATTTTTCTTTACATATAGTGCATGTTCTTGTGGACACTTCACGAATCCATTAGCTTGGAAGTACTGGTCAATTCTACTATTCCAAGCTCTTGGTGCTTGTTTAAGCCCATAAAGAGCCTTTCTTAGCCTCAACACTTTATCTTCTTGCCCTTTGACTTTGTAACCTTCGGGTTGCTCAATGTAGACTTCTTCTTCCAGGAACCCATTTAAGAACGCGGACTTGACATCCATTTGATGTATCTTCCATTTGTTGTGAGCCGCGAGTGCGATTATCAATCTTATTGTTTCCAATCTAGCAACAGGCGCAAATACTTCTTCATAATCAATGCCATGTCTTTGGGCGTAGCCTTTGGCTACTAGTCTTGCCTTGTACTTCTCAACCTCCCCTTTTGCATTTTTCTTGATCTTAAATACCCACTTCACTCCAATTGCTTTATGATTTGATGGAAGTATGGCTAGCTCCCATGTTTTGTTCTTCACAATGGACTTAATCTCATCATCCATTGCATCTCTCCACTTCTTGTTTCTTGTGGCTTCTTCAAACCTTAGTGGCTCGCAATCACCAAATAGACAAAAGAGTGTAAGTTCATCATTTGAGTTCAGGTTTTGTGTTACCTCGTAAAGCTCTTCAATGCTTCTCATGCGTGGTACTTCTCTTTCATCCGAACTTGGTGGCGAAGATTGAGCTTGAGTGGGAGATGGTGGCGGAGTTATATTTTCATGATTCTCTTCAACTTCTTCTTCATATTCTATGGATGGTAAGAGGCTATAATCTTCTTTGTCACCAATGCTCCAATTCCATGAGCCTTCTTCATCAAACTCCACATCGCGACTTATTATAAGCTTCTTCAAATCCGGATTGTAGAGTTTGTACCCTTTTGAGTGTTTGTCATATCCAATGAATATGAACTTCTCGCTCTTGTCATCGAGTTTTGATCTAGTCTGATTAGGAACATGAGCATATGCAATGCATCCAAATACTCTCAAGTGCGAGACTCCGGGTTTACCTCCATGCCACGCTTCTTGTGGAGTTATTCCATCTAGACTCTTCGTGGGGCAGCGATTTTGAAGATAGACGGCACAATCCACTGCTTCAGCCCAAAATTCTTTAGGCATATTCTTCGTCTTTAGCATGCTTCGGGCCATGTTGAGGATAGTCCTATTCTTTCTTTCGGCAACACCATTTTGTTGTGGTGTGCGTGGGACAGTCATGGGACGACGGATGCCATTATCTTCACAAAATTGATTAAACTCCTTTGATGTGAACTCTCCACCTCGATCTGATCTCATGGCTTTAATAACATACCCACTTTCTTTCTCAATAAGAGCCTTAAATTTCTTGAATGCTTCAAAGGCCTCTGATTTTTGTTTCAGAAAATATACCCATGTTTTTCTTGAGTAATCATCTATGAAAGTGAGAAAGTACTTACTTTTACCATGAGAACATGGAGTAATAGGACCGCATAAGTCGGTATGGATTAACTTCAGTGGTTCCTTAGCTCTTGAGGTAACTTCTTTAGGGAATGGTTTCCTTGATTGCTTCCCAAGTAGGCATCCTTCGCATAGCTGATCGGGGTGATTGATGAAGGGCAAACCTTTTACCATGCCTTTGGACGATAGCATTTTTAAGCCACCAAAGTTTAAGTGCCCATATCTTAAGTGCCAAATCCATGACTCGTCTTTCAAGCAACTTTTCAAGCATATGGCTTGATCTCTTTGAATATCAAGCAAGAACATCCGGTTTCTAGTCATCGGCACTTTAGCAACTAGTCTCCCATTATTGTCTCGTAGAGAAAGACTACGATTCTTTAAGTGAATATCATAGTCCTTTTCTAGGAGTTGTCCCATACTTAGAATATTTGTTTTTAAGTTGGGCACATAGTAGACATCGGAAATGAATTGATGACTTCCATCGTTTAGGCGGATTAGAACGTTACCTTTACCATTCACCACGACTTTCGATTCATCTCCAAAGGTAACATGACCTTGAGTATGTTCCACCTTCACGAACAAGCTTTTATCTCCCGTCATGTGGTTGCTAGCTCCGGTATCTAAATACCATGTGCTCTTCTTCGCTTGTTCTTCATGATTTGCCATCAACAAGGTAAGTTCTACCTCGTTATTCATCTCCATGAGATGTGCCTCTTCTTTAACATGATGAGAGTTCTTGCATTCATATGCATAGTGACCATATTTATTGCAATTATGACATCTTAGTTGACACTTGTCGTACCTTTGTGGTTTGATTCCTCTCCCACGGCCTCTAGATGCTTGTGTATATTGAGTTCTTTCTTCATTGTTGAATTTTGTATAACCACGACCTCGACCACCTCTTCCACGTGCACCACGTCCTCGATCATAACCACGACCTTGTTGGCCTCTTTCTTCACCTCTATTCTCCCCTCTTTCTTTAAAAGATAGTTTGGAGTAAAGAGAATGCTCCAATGATTCATCATATTTATTTCTCACAACTCTTTCTTCATGGACTTGTAGTGAGCCCATAAGTTGATCAATGGTCATGGTCTCTAAATCCTTGGACTCTTCTATGGCCACCACAATATAATCATAGTCTTTGGTGAGAGAGCGAAGGATTTTCTCAATCACCGTTATGTCCTTTAGTTCCTCCCCATTTCTCTTCATCTCATTTACAATTCCCAACATTCTAGAGAAATAATCGGATATTGATTCCGAATATTTCATTTTAAGTTGTTCGAACTCACCTCTAAGATTTTGAAGACGAATTCTCTTCACCTTGTCTACTCCCTTGAAAGAATTATGAAGTATTTCCCATGCTTCTTTAGAAGTGGTGGCATTTGCAACCTTCTCGAACATGGCCTCGTCTAAGCATTGATATATGAGAGTGAGAGCTTGTTGATCCTTCCTCCTACTCCTTTGGAGACTATCCCTTTGGGATTGATTTAAAGTAGCATCATCTTGAGGTTCCTCATAACCTTTCTCAACAATCTCCCATGCATCTTGAGATCCTAGCAAGGCTTTCATGCGAATGCACCAACTAGAGTAGTTATCTTTGGTGAGACGAGGAAATTGGAAGGGAAGTAAGCCGTTGGCATTCATCTTTCTTGAAAGGATTGATGGCTCTGATACCACTTTGTTGGAATAAAGGAGTTTATGAGTATTGTATTTAGGTGATTGTGTGTGGAAGAGAGAATTTTAGGGATAGATGATTTTGAAAGAACTTGGAACTTTTATCGATTTGGAGCTTTGGCTTGTATTACAAATGAGTGAGGAGTGCTCTATTTATAGGTCTCATAGGATCCTTCTAGGCACTCCTATTTCCTTAAGATTCTACAATATTCCATATAATTCTAGATTAGGAACATTCTAGAATTATTTAATAAGTGCATTGACTAAAGACTACTCTAGATCTTTCTTTACTAACTCTAACTTATGGGCTAACTAATTTATTATTTCTCATACAACTATTAGCCCAATAAGTTAACTTCTAATGGACCCAATTATTGGGCTAAGCCAAGTTTAATTTCTAACACAGACCCCCCCCCCCCCCCCCCCCCCCGGCTAAAACCCATATCCCTCCCCATCCAACCCAGCTAAAAGAACCATCCAGCACAGTGAAGAACACACCACACTCATCCACTATCCCTAACCAACTGACATAGAACTCTCTCCTTTGATTACTGTTGAGAGCACAACCCCCACATTTGCATTTTCTGCAAGATTTGGTGTTGAAAACGTGAAAGCAATCATGCGGATTATAGATTTGTCATAGTTATTAAAACGTTGGATGCTTTTCAGAAATTATGTATACGATAGACTAGATTTGTCACAAGGTTTAAACCTTGGATTTATTTTGTGTAATAAGCCTAAAACATTTAACTCAAGTTCATGGTTTGGAAGTATCACCAAGACTTGGCCTTTCCATTCTTTGGTCTAAGCGGTAGTATTAACCATTCTTCCTGTTGTGGTGTCTATTCTTTCATTGAAGTCATTATCTATTCTACGGGGTCTCGCAAGTCGCAACTATTGAAGAATGATTCAAAATTCAAATACTCCGTAGCATTTGGTGTTGGACATGTTTTTAATATAATTAGTAATGGGTCATTGAAGACTCATACGTTTTTACAGTTTCAATTAATCATATTAGTAGGTATGAATAAATGTTGATCGTAAGTGGTACTCCCTCTGTCCCCCTAAGTTTTTCTCGTTTTACCTTTTTCATCCGTCCCACTAAGTTTGTCCCATACTATATTTGGTAATATTTGAGTGGTTAGAATTCATTCTTACTTTATTCACACTTTATCAATTCAATCCAAACAACATAATTCTACTTTTTCTTAAAAACCACCCCACTATAAGTTTGAATGAAAGTCCAGCTTATATAATCTATTAGTTCTTTTTGTTCCTTGTGTGTAGTCTATGTTTTGCTGTCAGATCAACCAGGGTGAGAGAGTAAGTTCAGCGTAAACACTTGGTGAACGATCATGGGCAGCAACCAGAATGCAATGAGTGCAGCACATGTGTCAACCTCAAAATTTACACATTTTAAAATATGAAAGTAAAAGTAAACATACAAAGATTTAAAATTATTAAACAAAAAAAATTGTATCTAGAATTCTCAATTCTAGAATACGACTATACAAACCCCAAATCGGTAGGAATACGGAGGTTGGAACCAGTGTGTTGAGGAGCTTCTCCGATCCCATCGTTACATTTCTCCTTAGCCCCTTAGCATCGCGTAGGGTTTTGTCTCCCTAGTGGCTTTGCCGTCGCGTAGGGTTTCCTTCCGCCGTTTGTTTGTGCAGCTCTTCTTCTCTAGATTTCTAGGGTGCTTTTAAAGGAAGCATGAGTGCGGTTGCAGCTTTTGGAATCAACTCCAAGGTTCAAGAAACGATAAGTATGTCTTCTATGAATGATTTAGAGAAGTGTTGTCTCATTCTTGCAATTGAGGAGGAGGTCAAAGGGTTAGTTTCTGGCGAATCAACATGGATAGAGCGCGGTGGTGGTAGTGGAGGCGGAATGGGCTACGAGAAGATGGAGAGAGGTGAAGGGCTGAGCAAGGTAGAAGACATATCGGCGGTCCGTCAACCTCCTGAACCGCCGCCTTGGAGCGATCGAGGTGCTAGGGTTTGGAAGATTTATCAGTTATTTAATTTTTTATGGTTTTCTTTTGCGTTATGTTTTATGTTTTTCTGTTTTTTGCTGATGTCTTTAGTTTTAGGTTTACAATTATAATTGACAATTCTGCTAGATAATATGTCATTAAAAGGATCTATATGATCAGTGATTGCTGTGTCACACCCGCTTGATGGTTAGCGATTCGTATTGTTCTTTCAGGGGTGTTTGTCTCTAAGTTTAGCCGTAAGGTTGATCTTGCTAGTTGGTTATGAATAGTTATTGTAAGGGTTGGTCTTTTTGAGTTTGTTGTAACGATCCGATTTCTAATGATATTAATATAAGCGGTTTGTTTTTATGATTAAAAAAATTGTACTTTTGATTGGTGTTTTAGCTATTTATTTAAGGGTTAAAATGCACCAAACACCCCATGTTATATAAATCATGCACACTATCCCCTTGTGTTTTTAAAAATGCATAAAACCCATTTATGTTTTGTAGAATCTTGCACAAAATCCCTTAAAATGGTGAGTCTAATGTGCGTGTGATACACTTGCTATTTGATGTGATTTTTTTATTATCTAATTTCAGCTTCTTGAGCTAAGTAAATGGCAATTTTACCCTTTTGCATGAAATGGATAGCTCTCATTTTTTCTTTGCATCTTCTTACGCTTCAAATTAATATTATTTCAATCTATGTAATGTATGAAAGAGCAGCAAAATATTTAGGATGCAAATCCAAAATTAAGTACAATGTATTTTTTTTGTAAAAGCTCAAATAATTATCCAATAAACGGACATTGGTAAATTCATCATAACTACATAATAATGGTTCCTTTACACAATTATTTGTTTCAGTACTGACCAATTTTAAACATAAAAAATAAGATAGGTTCATTATGTATAATGTTATAAAACATGTTAAAGCAGAGACAATATTACCTTTATCAAGCAAACATGACATTCCAGATGCTTCAGGTGTAGGATCAATTGAGAGCAGACTTCAGAACATTGCCAACAAAAACACAGCAAGGACTAAGGTTTAATGCTCTCAATTCAAATGTCACATATTCCAAAATTATAACCTGCATATGTACTTGGCACTGCTTGCATGTATCCGTGAAATAGCATCACAGAATTCATATACAAACTCACTCATCAAAAGTCAAATAAACTCTTCAATCTAAAGAACAATTTCATTATCAAAACATGGAGCACTGCAAGTCTTCAATGTCAATCTTAGCCTCATACATACAATGTAGGTTTCATGTCAAATTCATTTAATTTAGCAACCAACCATGAAAATAATAGCAGCACGAGCAACACACGAACAAGACAAAACATCATAACAATATCAATACTAACAACACAAAACATCACAAAATAAAAAAGCTGCATACCTGGGAGCTCATAACATCAATCCAAAAACAGTGTTTTACACAAGTTCAAAGGTTTCCAGGAAATATAAACACAAACCCATACTTAATGACTGCAAAACTTATCAATTGTTATCCAACCCATATGTTCAACCTATTTTTGGGTATTTGGAGCTTTTTCTTTCGCTAAGTTTTTGTTAAGAACACAAACTTCTTGAGTTGGATTCACAACTTCAGATCCTAGCATATCCTTTATCACCTAAAAATAATAATAAATGTAAGTTAAAAAAGTCTCTTGCAATGGTGTGCTTTAAACATGTCAAAATCCAAACACATTAGTTTAAAGAGTTTACCAGAAGGACTTTGAAAGGTGTGAGTGTCAAAATTTGACACCATCGCAAAAAACATGTCATGATCCACCTGTTCAAGTGTAGAATTTACTGTAATAGGTCGTTGTTGATCTAGCCCTCTAGCTTCATTTGGAGCTTCTCCAGTGGGGTTTGGTGCTGATTTTTTGGGGCAAGTTCGTTTATTATGCCCAAGAGTTCCGCACATCTTGCATGTATGTGTTAGTCCCCTTCTTGAAGCTTTTGACGGGTTAATGTCATTTCCATCGGCTCTTCTTTTCTTCTTTGGCCTACCTCTTCTCAATTTTACATCAGGTGCTGCAATCTCACCCTTTCCACTATCTTCAAACTCGTGCATACCCGGAACTGGATGAATCATGTTCTCATAAACTCTCAAATACATATCCTTTTTGAAGTAGGCATGTATATAGTCATTCCCTGCCCAAGAAGGATAACAATTCCTACTTCGTTGTCTTTGAATATCTATCTTCTTTATAATGTTAGGGCACACGTTTTCAGCATATCTTTCCATCCCACACCTCTTAACTTGAATTCTAGTCATGACTTTCCTTCTACTCCACTCAAACATATCAATTATGGGAAGATCTCTAGCTGGTAATACGTAATTGTTGAACGATTCCGAAATATTGTTCACTATCACATCACATTTTGCATTGGTTTTAAAGAAACACCTAGCTCAGTGTTGGGTTGGAACTTTACTTAGCCACTCAAAAGTTGTATCTTCATCACCTTTCTTAGGAGATAACCGCTCTATTTCTTTCATCACTCTTTGATGTGTCTTCACGTTAAATGTTGAAGCTGCTTTCCAGAATAGTTTTTTAAGCTCCAGGCTACCAAACTTAGCTTTGAAATTATTGTACATGTGCTTCACACAATACCTAACACATATTAAAAAAATTACATTCAGCAAATGTAAATTTCTTTGTAATTAGAACTTATTGATCCAAAGTTTTGTTAATCTAAATTTTACCATTTATAGCTAGTAAAAATGTATACAAGTTTATAAAGGATCTTCTAAAAATGATGTACTAACCTGTGTTCAGAATGTGGGGCATTTTCTTTTATTGCTTCAATGGGCCCTTTTTGCCTATCAGGAACAAATGTGCACTCATGTTGCTCCGCAGAACCTATATCTCTTAACAATAAATTAAAAAACCAATCCCAACTGTCAAACTTCTCCACTTCAACAAATGCAATTGCAATAGGGTACATGTTATCATTTCCATCCCTACCAATTGCTGATAATAATTGTCCTCCATATAAACCCTTCAAGAAGCTTCCATCCAGCCCAATTATAGGTCTACATCCAGACAGCCAAGCTTCCTTGTTTGACGCAAGACACATTTACATTCTCTGCAGTTTGGGTGGAGTAAAAGACCTCTCAACCTTTATTACAACTGAACTCATTGGATTATATTTTTCCACCGCTGCACAATAGTCGTATAATCTCTTAAACTGCAAACCAGTGTCGGTTGTTAGCAAAGAGAGGGCATATTTTCTAGCTCTATATACCTTATGCATACCAACTTGTATACCACACTCACTTTTTATTTTGTTTTTTAAAGCTTCCAAGTTCACATTAGGGTTTTCACTCACAGATTCTCGGATCCTTTCTCCAAGGTACTTGTAGTCTGCTTGGTGGTTATCAGTCCTAAACGCACATGTGTGCTTTCCTTGAAGAGTTTTCAGCTGAAATGTTGAGCTATTTTGAATAATGGAAGCCCTCATCATCCATTCACATCCACTCTTGCAAACAACCGTTATAAGTTTCGCTTCACATTTGGGATACTTAAGATCATAATTTTTTCTGATGACGGACCAGTCCTTCACAACCTTCTTAAAGGTTTTCCTATCGGGAAACTTTTGCCCAGCTGCCAACTCAAAATTTTGCATATTAACGCTTTCACTCCATTCAAAGTCATCCACCCTTAACTCTTCATTTTCACCGTCACTATACCATCCTTCGTGTTCTCTGACTTTTTTTTCAGCAGCTCTTTGCATTTTGTTTTTTGTCTCTTATCTTTTATATACTTATTGGCATACTCCCATACTTTTCTTGAATGGTCAGGCAGTCTTGTAGCAAAAATGTCATCATCATTCGGGCCCTCTATGTCTTCCAATGTCCAGGAGGGGCATGAGGAGACAATTAAGTCGGAATCACAACTTGAATCGTCACTATCATCACTATCATCACGACTATCTCCTTCTTGTTCAACATAGAGTTCATTTACATTGACGACCTCAACTCCAGCAGACATTTGTGTTGTTTCTTCTGTAGAACATATAAAAAAGAGTTCAATCATCATAGATTTCAGCTATTACTTTTCATTTTTCAAAGCTCATATTACATTACAATAAGTGTTTTAAGTGAGAATTAGTGAACCAATTAATTTTTTTCTAGTGAATATCAACTTTATTAGAAATCAGTAAAACATAACTCGTGGATCTAAATTTAGATTAACTTGATTAGAATGTACTAATAAACAGAACTAGTGAATCAAGTTTTTTTTGTCTAGTAATTCTCAACATTTTTGTGTAGTGAATCTCAAGTTTGAGTACATAGCATCAACTTCATTTCAAAAATCACAAGTTAAAAACATGAGCTGATATACTAATAAAAATTTAGTAAACCTGGAAGTTTTAACCAATATAATCTAACTTTGGAATATATACAAGTATTCCTGATGAAATATTTTTTTTTTGAGAGAAAAAATCTTTTTTTTTAGAGAGAAATCTAAGTTGTTTAAAGTAATACACAAAACACCCAAATAAAACCCTAAATTATAATTACAAGCAAAACTTAATAAATTAACCACAAATACCACCCAAATCAGAGTTGTCTAGTGAACAGAACTTTATTATGACTAGTGACTACTAATAAACAGAATTGGTGAATCAAGTTTTTTTGTTTAGTGATTCTCAACTTTTTTGTATAGTCAATCTCAAGTTTGAGTACATAGCATGAACTTCACTTCGAAACCCACAAATTAAAAACATGAGCTGAAATACAGTAATAAAAATTTAGTAATTAAACCTAGAAGTATCAACCAATATAATAACTTGGAATATATAGAACTATTTCTAATGACATCTAAGATTCAATAATTGCATAAAGCCATACACATACTCGTAAGTTACCAGCATATTAAAATTAGTATCAAGCTACTCTTATTTACCTTCCCATAGATTAAGTAATCTACGGAGTTGAAGAATGAGTAGAAGAAATAAAAAGATTATTTGCTAACCTAGCCTCTGTTTTTTTGCAAGCCCTAGCCTCTGTAATATTCTTGCTCACGATGGGTTTTTGGTGGTTGAATGGTGTGTGTTGGTTTTAATCCCTGGTGTAACCGGCGATGTACTAGTTAATTAAAAGGGGTATAAGGGGAAATTTATAAAATAGAATCGGTCGTTAAGTTTTTTTCTGCATATGGGGAAGGTGAGCATGGTTTATCAAAACTGAAGGGAGTTTGATGCTTTTTAAAAAACACAGGGGGATAATATGCATGTTTTAAATAACATGAGGGATTTGGTGCAATTTACCTGCTATTTAAGTTCTACTAAAATAAACTACTCCGTATGAAAGATCGAATAGAACAATTGAATCAAACTACGTCTTTAGATAAATAAAGTATGGCCAAATAGCAAATGTTATGAAATATGATAATTTACTTGGCCAAATATTACTCATACTGACATAGATTGAACAAATGCAAAGATAAAAGTCAATGTAATACATTAGCTGATATAGAGTCCGGTTCTAATAAAAAGTGGTCTTCCTATGGGAAATGCGAATCTCTCCATTTTTGATCATCTAAAGTGCACTATTGACTATTGAACTTAGATGATTTTCATCATCCATTTTTGTTCATCAACGGTACAATGCACCAAATTTATACATGTCAGATCAATTATATTTCATGTCAACCAATTATTATGTGGAAAATATGTCTATATATATTATTTAAAGTGTGTGTTATGCAATTCAAGTTTTTTTTGTTTTTACATATCCTTCCATCCCATAAAACTTAGTTAATAAGTTTGACTTTCACATAAAATAATAAAGTAATAAGTTTGTGATTGAACTTTGTACAGTAAAGAGGTAAATAATTTTAGTCACATATTTGTTTCTTTAAACAAAAATGAGGGAGTGTGAAGTAGTTGTAAATGATTAAATGTCAGTAAGTTTTAAGGCTCGAACACAATATATATGGGTTGATTGCCTTTTGAGCCTGGAATTAAATAGAGTTACTCCAATGAGGGTGAATTGCAGTGATGTGACATAGAAAACAGATAGAGATAAAATGAACATTTTAATTTAATATAAATAAATGAAGTGTGTAGAGAAATATGAAAAAGAGGACACTACAAAAAAACACGGAGTTAGTCACGGATTTAGTCACGGACCGCAGTATAAAAAATCCGTGACTAACTTTGCTAGTCACGGACTTTGTCCGTGACTAAATCCGTGACTGTTTGGGCGTGACTAATTCTAGTCACGGTCATTTTATCCGTGATTTAGCGTAGTCACGGCTTAGTCACAGACAGTTTCCGTGACTAACTTGTCACCGGAATAACCACACCGGCGACTTAGTCACGGCCTTTTCCGTGACTAAATATAGTCACGGACTAGTCCGTGACTAAATTTTCAAATTTTTAAAAATTAACCGCCAAATGTTACTGTTTAAATTTTCAAATTTCAAATTTTAGTCACGGACTTGATCCGTGACTACTTTTTTATTTTTTAAAAAAAAAAATTAAATTTGCAAAATAACTTTTTTAAAAATCGGTCTGGAATTTAGTCACGGCTCGGATCCGTGACTAAAGTTTTTTATTTTTAAAAAAAAAGTTTTTTTTTTTTATAAAAAAATAATTTTTTTTTAATTATTCTTTAGAAAAGTTTATTTTAAAAAATATTTTCAGAATAAAAGTAATAAACAAACTACTAGAACCCACTAGAACACACATTTCATAACCAAACAGACTGAAATAAAAGTAATAATAAGCACAATAGAATTATAGTAAATAAACAATGTTCAAATAAAAATGTATATCATTTACAAGCTCCTCCGGTTACCATTATGATAATATCTAGAATCATCATATAGATAATCTTCTTCGGTCTCATCTTCTCGGTTGCCACCGCGACTGCCTCCTCCGCGACTGCCACCTCCGCGACTGCCACCTGCTTGGCTGCCTCCAGATGTTTGAAACAGGTTGTGAAAATTGATATCCTGAATAGATCCAAATGAAGGCAACCCGGTAGCAGAGTTGGTACGGAAATAACCGCCCATGTGCGGAACTTGAGGTGTCTGCTCAGGGTGCAGTACATACGGCTGAGGCTGAGGCTGATTCCGAATTCCGGCGCTGAGGATCCGTTCCATCTCTTCCAGCCGGGCCCTTGTTTCTTCATCTTTTTTGCGTTGCTCCTCCAAGGTGCGCTGCTGCTCAGCCAAGGCCCGCTGCTGCTCCTCCATCTCCCGCTGCATTTGAGCGATACGCGGATCCTCTCCGCGCCTTGAGCGGGAAGATGAAGCACCGCTGCGGTCGTACAAGATCCGTTGCCCCTCAGCCCCCATGCACGGGACCCGGCCCTTGTACACCCCAACTGCCTCAAAGATGGCATCATCCTCCACATCAGAATCAATCTCATCCTCCTGAGTCAAGCCTAATTCTGCCCGCCTCTTCTCAACATTTGTGTTATACTTTGACTACATGTACAAAAATTGTTAATTTAATGTTACTCAATTTGATTTTGAATGGAAATAAGTAACAAAATAGTGTTACTTACTTCGATTTCAGCGAGGCGGGGTGGCAGATCGGCATCGGACTCATCGCCGTGCTTTGTCCAGCAGTGCTTGATGACCTTGAGAATTGAGACCTTCTTCTTCTCAGGCCCCGACTACAGTTTGGAAAAAAGGCTTAAGATCCATAATTAATTGTTAAAATAAAGGGTTGTAATTGTGTAAGGTTTTTTGAAAAATACTTACAAGATCTTCTTTATGTCTACTCTGAGGTTTGCGGCCCCCATGCCATTGGGTTTCTAAAGCCTTCTCGGACATCCGGTTTTTCTTACCGGATTGACTTCTTGCCAAGAAGTTTGGATCAGAAGACCAGTGACGGACGAGGTTAGCCCACACCTCATCCGAACACCATCCAGGCTTTACCCCGCTCTTTCGGGCACGCTTAAAAGTAGGACGAAGCCAGTTTGAAATCCTAGCGTTATACGCTCTAAGAATAGCGGGACCTTGGGCTTCAGTCCATCGAAACCGACCCTTTATAAAAAACAAATAAATTAATTTATCTTTTATCAAATGTTACGTTAATACAATTACGCAGAGAAAATTCATTTTTTTTACCTTGAAAAGGTTCCACCAAAGTTCACGAACCTTGGGGTCAACTTCCGTGTATGCTGCCCAGTTCCCAAGAAAGTGTCCTCCGATTATTAGTTTGATTTGGTCCAACACTTCTTGATCGCTTCAGAAAATTAATATTATTTATTTATAAAAGTTTTGATAACATTATGATACATTGAAAAAATTATTTCACGTTAGATAAAATTCATAGTTACTTACTTCGCAACCATGTGGGGCGTCACCCAAAGCGCATTTTCATTGTTGCGCTCAGCTTCGGTTAAGGGCACATAGTTTGGGCGGGGACGCGAGGTTGATTGTTCATTGCTCATCTAAAATATATTAATTTATATTTTTAAATGTTAGTGTAGTTATAATAGAAGATAAGATTTTTGTAGAAGTTTTATCAATTGAAAACGTGTATAACATATTAAACTGTGTATAAGTCTAATATGAGAAGTCGATATTTTTTCAATTAATTTTTTTATAACTTTGATACAATACATTTTCAATTGATTGGTCTTTAAGGTAACATATTAAACTGTGTATAAGTCTAATATGAGGGGTCGATATATTTTCAATTAATTTTTTTATGACTTTGATACAATACATTTTTGTATTGATTAGCCTTTAAGGTAAAATGTTAAACTTTTGCAAGTTTACATGAGGGGACATATATACTTTATATAAGGAAATTATAAAAATCATTTTAATACAGTAAAAAATAGTTCGACTTATCAAAAACAGTTTTATCTAAAAAAAAAGTTATCTAAAAACAGTTTTTTTTTTAGATCTAATAACAGTTTTATAAAAAAACAGTTTTGTAAAAACAGTTTATAGAAACAGTTTTATATAGAAACAGTTTATAGAAACAGTTTTATATAAAAACAGTTTTATAAAAACAGTTTTATATAAAACTCAGTTTTGTTATTGTTTATATAAAAATCAGTTTTAAAAAGTTTAAATTTATTTTACAAAGATCAGTTTTTAACTAATAAAAAACATTTTTTTACAAAAACCTGTTTTATACTTATTAAACTCTGTTTTTAGGAAAAATAGTGTATGAATTAATTAGTTTTATAGTTTTTTATAAATCAGTTTAATAGTCTACTTTTTTTAAAAAATCAGTTTTATAGATTTTGGTATAAAAACAGTTTTATAAAAAACAGTTTTTATACTTTTTAGTTTTGGTAATATAAGTTAAAAATCAGTCTAAATTTGTTGTTTTACTTAATTATTCAAAACAGTTTATAAATTAATTTCTCAAAACAGTCTAAATTAATTTTTTGTTCATTATTTCAAACATGTTAAACTTTTTGCAAGTTTAACATGAAGGGGGCAATTTTTTTTTTAAATAATTCGGGAATACCTAATAATTGTCCAAAAAATTGTATTGAGCATGCATGCTTCATCATAAGTCCAAAAATAATTCCAAAAATAGCATAAGAACATTCGAATATTCATGCATATGGTTTAAACAAAAAATAATACATGTTTAAGCATGGATATTAGACATACAACCCAAAAAAAAGAGATGGTACCAAACTATAATATAAGTATGCATACTACACATCAAACTAAAAACAAAAGCATAAATTTCATCAAAGTATGCATGCATTTTATTCGGATATATATTAAAATTAGCATAGATTTGGATTTTGGATATGCATTTCGGAAATTAAAGAATTTAAAATTAAAATAGCATGGAATTTTTATTCAACAAATAGAACATGAATGTTGAAAACTAAAGTACGCATTTAAGTATATACATGGGTATATTAATATAAACAGAGCATGCATATAAATTACAATAACAACAAAACATGCATTTGTTAAAATATTAAAAAAATTATAATTAATTATTAAAATACGAAAAAAATAGAAGTTGAGATTTGAGAACATAACCTCGATGGCGGTGGAAGGCGGTGGAAGGCGGCGGACGGCTGATTGAGGAGGATGGCGGGTGACAGAGACCGGCGGTGGAAGGCGGTGGAAGGCGGCGGACTGCGGACGGCGGCAGGCGACAGATAAGAGTGGTCGGTGGCGACGGACGGTGGAAGGCGGCGGTGGAGTTCGAAAGGAGTGAGAGACAGAGAGAAGATCGAGGTAGAGGGAGGAGAAGGCCGGGGAGTTTTAGGGTTAAGAAATAAGGTGGAATTGAAAAAATCGCTAAGGGTCGGTTTTATATGAGGGCGTAGTCACGGTCTTAGTCACGGATAAATCCGTGACTAAACCCTTCGTAATCAACGAAATCAGCCACGCGGCATCGGCCGCCTTTGACCGGTTTAGTCACGGATTTATCCGTGACTAAGACCGTGTCTAATTCAAATTTTGAATTTAGTCACGGTTCTAGTCACGGTTACAACTGTGACTAGACCGGCGGCCCTGACACTTCTCCGGCTACCAGACTGACAGGTTAGTCACGGAATTATCCGTGACTAAGACCGTGACAACTTGAAATTTTTTAGTATAAATCATCTTTCTCCGGCCATAGAGAGAACTGTAAAAAAAATGGCTAATAGAGGTCCAATTGACTGGGATTCGATGTGTAGAGATATGAAACGACTTAAGCTGATTACAGAGCTTATGGAGCCGAAAACCGTGGAAGCATACGAGAGAATCAAGGAGTTGATGTCTAGACCCCTTGAAAGTTTTGGCGATTATAAAGATGAAGAATCCGACTCGTTGGGCAAGTCAAAAGCAAGAAATTTGTGTCGGATGCTTCAACGTGCACAAGAAGTTTCAGAGTATATGGACCCGATCAACGAAGAAGCTCGAATGAAAATTCAGGAGTTGTGGGCTAGGCCTCTTGAAAGTTTCCGATTGAGGAATGAATAATGTTAGTTAGGTTAATGTGATAAATAAATCTATGTTAGTTGTTTGATAAATAATATGTGACAATTTCATTGTGTGTTTTGTATTTATCTTTGAAATTTGATAAATAAATCTCTGTTAGTTGTTTATTAATATCTAAATTTATTATAATATTCAGATTAGTAAAAGTAAATTACTTTTTTTTTTTCGAATTTTGTTAATTTTCGAATAGACTTAGAATTATTAAAATTAATTTTTGAATTTCGAATTATTAAAAATTATTAAAATAAATTTTCGAATTTAGAAAAATCAAAAATAATATTTGAATTTTCGAATTTGAAAATAAAAGAATATAATATAGAGTAATTTCATATTTTGTATTGGGTAAATTTTAATTTTCAAACTTCGAATTGTGAAAAATTTTATTTTGAATTTATAATATGGATATAAATAACTTGTTGTGGTTGAATTAATATGGAGTAATTTTTTGTTCATAAATAATAATGATAAAGATAGAAAAAAATTCAAATATTGTTGGAGTAATATAATGATGAAGAAATCTGCACAAATATTAGAAGTCAATAAAATTGAAATTACAACAGCACAATTATTCGCTATCAGAATCGTCATTTTCTACATATACAGTATCTTCTTCTGTATCTGAACCGTCTATCCATTCACCTTCTTCCTGATATTGAGCGTTTTGTTGTGCTACATACATTTCCTCAATTTCGCGCTCAGATGGAATGGTTGGGTCCGGAAGGTGCGTTTCTGGCATGACTTCAACACGTCCGCCATTTGGATCACTTAATTGGATGTCATAGTTGACCGTCTCAACAATAGGCGGAGGTTGGAAAAATTGTTGCTGAAAAGCATCTAGATCAACGTCCTTGTGTTGAGTTTGTGATTTTATTTTGTTCGGACGGACAGGACATGCACACACCCAAGGATTCTGTGTCCGCCTTGTTGAAGGATATTCTGCATAATAAATCTGCGCTGCTTGTTGGGCGAGTATGAAAGGCTCATTTTTCGGGTACACACGAGACTGGTTGACGTCAATCATATTATACTTCGGATTTTTGCGCACGCCACGTGTGGGGTCGACCCATGTGCAACGAAACAGAACGCATGTCAATTTTTTCGCACCAGAAGGCATCTCAAGTTCCAGAATCTCCTGCAGGACACCAAAAAAATTGGTTTCCGAGTTATCATAACCGATGGTCGGGACACATAACCCGCTGTTCGTTGTTGGTCGGCCCTCTCCGTAATCGGCTGTGTGATATGTGTAACCGTTTATCACATATTGCCGCCACACTTTGGCACTGGCACTAGGGCCCCACGCTAATGATACTAACAAAGGGTCGACAATCCCACGACTATTGATCTGTAAATATAAACATGATAATAACATTAGGTAAATATTGAAAAATCTTACTTAATAATATATATATATATAATTAATGTGTGTGTATATATATACCTGATACTTGTACCAATTTACAAAATCAGAGTCTACCAATGCATCAATTTGATTCTCAGGAAAGGCTGATAAAGAAGCTCTGAATTCACTGTGAATTCAAAAATAAAAAAATTATAAATTAACTACAAATTTAATTGATAAGTATTACAATTATAACTACAAATTTAACTTACTGATAAAACGGTGAGATTTCTGGACAATTCATGAGGATATAAGTATGTGCAATTTGCAATTCCCCACCCACGATGTATCGTTGTGTCGCAGCACCTTTACCTCTGCCTGGGTAATTGAAGATGGGAACTACATTTTCATATAAATCCTCGCCAATGTCATCGTTCCGGGCAGGTCTCTTCCTTCTGGTGATGACGTCACGCTCGAAGTAAAAAGACGAGAACGTTGAGATTTCTTGTTGAAGATACGCTTGACAAATTGAAGCCTCAACGTGTGCCTTGTTGGTCACTTTCTTTTTTAGCTCTCCTAGAAATCTGCAATAATGCAATATAACAACGGTACACGTACATGTTAACAGTTATTGTGAAATAAATATTCTTTTTTTAAATGAAATTGTTACTAACCTTTCAAATCTGTACATCCAGCGATAGAAGACGGGCCCAGCAGTCAAAGCCTCATACGGAAGATGTATTATAAGATGTTCCATTGTATCGAAAAACGATGGAGGCATTATTTTTTCTAGATTACACATCAGAATGGGAACAGAATCTTGTAGTCTCCGGAGGGATGCCGCATCCAAAACGCTGGAACATATCGATTGAAACAACAAACTGATTTCAGTAATGCAGGACCATACGTGTTCAGGAAGCATCTCTTTTAGTGCAATTGGTAGAAGTCTTTGCATTATTACATGAGCATCGTGAGTTTTCATGCTCGTCGTCGTGGTAAGTTTGTTCATGTCTACGCATCTAGACAAGTTGGAGCAGTAGCCATCTGGAAACTTCTGAGACGCAAGCCATTGTAATATTGCTGCCTTTTGTGGTTCTGTGACCTGGTAGACTGCTTTTGGAACTTCCTTGCCCTGATATTCTAGATCAACAGAAAGTTCGGGTCTATCACACCAAATAGTCATATCTTTCCTAGCTGCAAGATCGTCTTTAGTTTTGCCTTTCAAATCCATCACTGTGTTAAATATATTGTCAAAGACGTTCTTCTCAGTGTGCATGACATCTAAATTGTGACGGATGAGAAGGTCTTTCCAATAAGGCAACTCCCAGAATATGCTCCTCTTTGTCCACTTATGGGTATCACAATACCCATATGGCTCTTGGTTTGGCTCTTCCATAGCCGTAGGAAAACGTCGAACCCGGTTATAAATTTCTTCACCGGTCAATCTCGGGGGTGGGCTCTCTCGTACCGCTCTGCCTCTAATGAAAGACTTCTTGTCCTTTCGATATCGGTGCCTTTCCGGGAGAAACTTGCGGTGACAATCAAAGTAACTTCCTTTTTTGCTGTAACTAAGCCAGTTGGCACCTGATTTCTCCATACATATCGGACATCTCATCAAACCATGTGTGCTCCATCCCGAAAGCATGCCATAGGCAGGGAAGTCGCTAATGGTCCAAATGATGGCAGCTTTCATGATAAACATTTTATCTGATGAAACATCATAAGTTGGTGTCCCAACGGCCCACAGTTCTTTCATCTCCTCGACAAGGGGTTGGAGATAAATGTCTATCTTTCGCCCAGGATCCTTGGAACCCGGACAAATTAAAGACAAAAATATGAAATGACTTTTCATGCACATGTCGGGAGGGAGATTGTAAGGAGTTAACATGACCGGCCAACATGAATAGTTCTTGCCAAACCTGCCAAAAGGAGCAAATCCATCTGAGCACAATTCCAGCCGCACATTTCGTGGCTCCATAGCAAACTGAGGATGACAGCGGTCAAAGTGTCTCCAGGCTTCACAGTCCGAAGGGTGAGCCATCATACCCTCGTTGGTTTCGTGCTCAACATGCCATGTGTCACGCCCCAGACCGCGATCCAAGCGCGTGTACAACCGCCGTATAACTAAGTGACGTCACCCACGAGTCAACCTCACTTAATTACACAAGGCGTTCGAGAAAACAATTCATCCATACTCAGTAGTAAACATACATAACAACATCACATTTAAACCAATGAATAGCGGAAATATTCAACGGTAAGTCATGAGCCACAACCGGCCAACAACATGGGCATGCAAGCCCAAAAAGTGTTTATAGTAAAACAAATACCCATGAGCAAGTGTTCGGTAGTTTGAAAGAAAATAAGGAAGCACGAACCACGTCTTCCTGATTTGATATCACCCGTGAGAAGGTGCAAGTAACAAGCCCTAGCTTCAACCTGAAAATGGTGGGGCCCCCCGAAGGGGTCAGTACAAGTACCGAGCGAGTAGCAGGCTAAATATAGAATAACTAGCGTTTCAAGTATAAGACCCAAACATAGGGTGATACTTAAATAGATAGTCCTTCCCCCAAGTTATGAAATACTTATAAGTATATATATATACTTGGAAAATATCCGATCCGTAGATCACCATTTTATTTGGGAAAAATAGTATTAGTCAATATTCTTGACTAAAAACCTCAACCCACCCATATACCTATGAGTGTATAGGACTCCTCCTTGTCCCTATTTGTATATCCTAATTTATGAGTTTTAGGATCAAAATCCTCGGATACTCCACCGGTTTGTGAGTGTTAAGGCCTCATAAGTCCTAGGGTCCTCCACCAAGTTTTGAGTGTTAAGTACTTTTAAGTACTAGGGTCCTCCACCAAGTTTGAGTGTTAAGTACTTTTTAAGTACTAGGGTCCTCCACCAAGTTTTGAGTGTTAAGTACTTTTTAAGTACTAGGGTCCTCCACCAAGTTTTGAGTGTTAAGTACTTTTTAAGTACTAGGGTCCTCCACCAAGTTTTGAGTGTTAAGTACTTTTTAAGTACTAGGGTCCTCCACCAAGTTTGAGTGTTAAGTACTTTTTAAGTACTAGGGTCCTCCACCAAGTTTGAGTGTTAAGTACTTTTTAAGTACTAGGGTCCTCCACCAAGTTTTCCTATTATCAACCTCCTATCAACCTAGATAGAGTCTATATCATACTTAGTTACTCATAACTAATCCAATACATAAATTCTTATGTATCACAACCCATGCAAAACCATGCATGTATATAGATTTATATTTAATTAATACCAACCGGTATTAATTAAATCCTTTGTTCTTCGGTCCACGTTTTCGTTGACCGCCATTTCATGCCTTGTGTGTATCAACTTAATCATCATATAATTAAGTTAATAATATTCATTTGTGCTTCTAATACACTTCAAGCAAATATGCATTTCATATAATTCTTCATATCATATTCCATGCATCAACAATTAATTTCTTTCATACAAACTTAACCCTATTGGCTAATCACATGTTTAAATATCTTTTAAACATTATTATGAACTCATATAACATTTATTTAGGTAATCTCATAATTAACCCAAAGTTATAAGATATTAAGCCGTCCACTCACCTTGAACTAGCGTTATGAAGTTCTACCCTTCTTGGTTGAACTCCGGTGAAACTCCGGCGACTTTTGGTCAACTCCGGCGACAACTCCGGCGACTTTTCCAACTTTGTGAAACCACTTGAAATACCCTTTACAAGTGCCTAACAAGGTTTTATAATCATAAAACCCATATTAATACAAATAACCTCAAAAAGGTTATTTCCCGGTAAACCGGTCGTTTTGGCTTCTAAGTCCGTTTTTGGACGTAGAACCATTTTCCATCCCATAAATCCATACTTATAACATGTGAAACCATACTAAGGATCCCTCATATGATATATATCTCATATTGTAAAAGAAAAATAGAGGAAAAGGTATAATAAGGTCATTACCTTAATTATTCACACTTTTCCCAACTTTTTCTCTCTTTAATCTTCCTCCTTGGACCACTTTAGGTTGAGCTCGAATATTGGCTATGGAAGATGAAGTTTCAGAGCTTTTTCTCCTCCTACCCTTGGTGCTGGCCGAACTCAAATGATGAGGGAAGAGAGGGGGTGTTCACTTTTGCCTTGATTGGCAAATATGTGATGGGAGGGGGGTCACCCATGTACCTTAGATGCCAATACCATCTTTTCAGCCTCTTCCCTTGTCTATCCAGCCCTCTTTGATTAATTGGAGCACACAAAAACGTGGGGTGGCCCCCACTCATGTGGGAGGTCATCCCTTTGTGTCCCAGTGTGTACAATCGGTCCCGAAAGTTGTATTTTTCGGACTGTTTTAAATATATTTTATTTTATCGGGTCAAATAAAATATATTATGTGATCTTACTCATTATGACATGTATAATGAATATACATTCCCCAACTTTAATTTATAAGCCCCCGAAATTCAGTTCGGGCTGTTATCAGTTAAATTACCAGTACCGATAATTTGGGCTCCTTTTGACCAACCGGTCTACTCTGGGCTTTTCCATAGCCCAAATGAAATATCCACCACTATATATTTATTATCTAGACCAAGATGAATAAAATATATGGTCTCGGGAATGTCGGGCGGCCCCCGCTCCCGGTGTGTGTCCCACGTGCAATTTATTATTCACGTGAAAGAAATAACAAAAATTTACAACTTCGTAAATTCATTAATTCTTTAATAAGGTTCAATACATTATTTACATAAAAGTAAATATATTTGGGGACGGTGTTACAAGTTCACCCCCCCTTATTTGGGATTTCGTCCCCGAAATCCAAGTATCTAATCGAAAAGAAATGGGTATTGCTCCCTCATTGAGACCTCGGTCTCCCAAGTTTCTTCTTCGACTCGATCACTCCTCCAAAGAACCTTTACCATAGGAATCTCCTTATTCCTAAGCTTCTTCACTTGTTGACCAACAATCTTCACTAGTTCCACCGCATATTGCAAGTCCTCACGGATCTCTACCGGTAGTTTCTCAAGAATATGAGATGGGTCTCGTATGTACTTCTTGAGCATTGATACATGAAACACGTCATGTATCTTCTCAAGTTCAGGCGTCAACTTGAGACGGTAGGCCACAGCCCCTATCCTTTCAAGGATTTCAAATGGACCGATGTATCGGGGATTAAGCTTTCCCCTCGATACAAATCGAATGATGCCCTTCCAAGGAGAAATCCTTAGGAAGACCTCATCACTGACCTCGAACTCTAACGGTCTCCGCCGTTTATCAGCATAACTCTTCTGTCGGTCCTGAGCGGCCTTCATTCTGTCCCGAATGATCCTCACCTTGGCCTTGGTGATCTCAACCAGCTCTATCCCTTCGAGTTTGGCCTCGCCAACCTCGTCCCAACACAACGGTGTTCTGCATTTCCTCCCATACAATGCCTCATATGGGGGCATGCCGATATTTGCCTGATAACTGTTGTTATAGGCAAACTCCACTAGGGCCAAATGCTTGTCCCAACTTCCCTGGAACTCCAAAGCACATGCCCTAAGCATGTCTTCCAAAGTCTGTATCACCCGCTCGGACTGTCCATCGGTCTGTGGGTGAAAGGCTGTGCTAAACTTCAGTTTAGTCCCCAAAGATGCTTGAAACTTTGGCCAAAATCGGGATGTGAATCGTGGATCCCTATCCGAGACAATGGATATTGGGACTCCATGTAATCTCACAATCTCCTCTGTGTAGAGCTTGGCCAATCTTTCAAGAGGATAAGTAATGTTGATAGGCAGAAAGTGTGCACTCTTGGTGAGCCTATCGACCACTACCCAATCTGCATCATAGTTGTTCACCGTTCGTGGTAGCCCCCACCACGAAGTCCATGGTCACGTGCTCCCACTTCCGCTCTGGGATGGTGAGTGGCTGCAAAAGTCCTGCCGGGTGCTGGTGTTCTGCCTTAACTTGCTGACAAGTAAGGCATCGACTCACATACTCGGCGATGTCTCTCTTCATACCCGACCACCAGTAACTTTCCTTCAGGTCCCGGTACATCTTAGTACCTCCTGGATGCATAGCATAAGCTGAAGAATGAGCCTCCTCAAGTATAGACTTCTAGAGGTCTTCCTTCTTTGGTATGAGCACACGATCCTTAAACAATAATAGACCATCGTCACATACTCGAAAGTTCTCAACAGGCCCCTCAATGATTCGTTCACGAATCTTCTGACACTCCTCGTCAATGGCCTGACATCTACTGATCTCACCCAGCAATGTAGGTCTGACCTCAAACCTAGCAATGAGCGCCCCGCTCGTGGATACCTCCACGTGCGCCCTCAATGCCTGTAGACATGTGAGTAGCGTCCCCGACGTACTCTTCCTGCTCAGTGCGTCGGCCACTACATTGGCCTTTCCGGGAGGATAGTCGATGATCAAGTCATAGTCCTTGATCAACTCCATCCATCTCCTCTGCCTCATATTCAACTCTTTCTGAGTGAATACATACTTCAGGCTCTTATGATCAGTATAAATGTGACACGTCTCCCCGTAGAGATAATGCCTCCAAATCTTCAATGCAAACACTACCGCCCCCAACTCTAGATCGTGAGTAGGGTAGTTCACCTCGTGTTTCCTCAATTGCCTAGAAGCATAGGCAATCACCTTACCGTTTTGCATCAGTACACATCCAAGCCCTTGGATGCTAGCGTCGCTATAAATGTCATACCCTATCCCCTGTATGGGTAGGGCAAGGACTGGTGCTTCGGTAAGTCGTTTCTTCAGTTCAAGGAACTCTTTCTCACACTTGTCGTCCCATATAAACTTGGCCCCTTTCTTTGTGAGCTTCGTTAATGGGGACGCCAATACGGAGAATTTCTCAACAAATTTACGATAGTATCCCGCTAGGCCAAGGAAACTACGTATCTCTTTCACATTCTTGGGTCTCTCCCAATCCATGATAGCTCTTATCTTGGCGTTATCCACAGCAACGCCCGAACCGGATATGACATGACCGAGGAAACCAATCTCCTTGAGCCAAAATTCGCATTTAGAGAACTTGGCAAAGAGTTGCTTTTCCCTTAGCCGATCAAGTATAAGCCCCAAATGATGTTCATGCTCCTCCTCGCTCTTGGAGTATATTAAGATATCATCAATGAATACTATCACAAATTGATCTAAGTATTCACTAAACACCCGGTTCATCAAGTCCATGAATGCTGCCGGTGCATTGGTTAAACCAAATGACATCACAAGAAACTCGTAGTGACCATATCTAGTGCGAAATGCACTCTTAGGTATGTCACTCTCCTTGATCTTCAACTGATGATACCCCGACCTCAAGTCAATCTTCGAGAATACTATGGCCCCTCGAAGTTGATCAAACAAGTCATCAATCCTAGGTAAAGGATACCTGTTCTTGATTGTGACCTTGTTCAACTGTCAGTAGTCAACACACATTCTTAGCGTACCATCTTTCTTCTTTACGAAGAGTACGGGTGCTCCCCACGGTGAATGACTGGGTCTGATGAACCCGTTGTCCAATAATTCTTGTAGTTGGACCTTCAACTCTTGGAGTTCGGCCGGTGCCATTCGATAAGGAGGAATCAAAATGGGTTTGGTTCCCGGCTCCACTTCAATTACAAACTCTATCTCTCTGTCGGGTGGAAGCCCCGGTAGGTCTTTGGGAAAGACATCCGGGTACTTGCACACGACCCGTACATCTTTGATGTCGACTTCCTTCTTGGTATCGTCCACCACGTAGGCAAGGTACGCGTGGCATCCCTTCCTCATCATCTTCCGTGCTCTCATCACGAATATGATACAAGCACTAGATTCCCCCCGATCTCCTTCGAAACATAACGTGTTTCCTAGATCATCCTCGAGCTCCAACACCTTGGTGTAGCAATCAACTCGAGCATGGTGCTTCTCAAGCCAATCCATTCCTAGGATTGCATCGAACTCCGACATGCTTAGAGGTACGAAATCACAAGTCAAGGGTTGACCCGTCACTTCCACCTCACATGATGGATAGTAATGATTTCTCTCCACGTCGTCTCCCAACGGTGTGGAGACTAGCAATGTTTGTGTCATAGGCGTCAATGGCACGTCGAGCCCCTCGGCAAACGCCTCACTCACAAATGAGCGTTGTGCCCCCGGTATCGATGAGGATCCTCGCACACCTACCATTGATCTTTAATGTTCCTACATTTATACACCATGTAAGATACCTTTTCTAATGTTTTTACACATCTTTAGGAGGTTATTAGGTTCATACTAATGTTTGGAATCAAACGGGGATCCAAACGTAGGAGAACGGGGCGAAAAAATCAAGTTTCGGGTGCCTGGGGTCCACGCACGGCGTGCCTGGGGTCCACGCACGGCGTGCCTGGGTGGCACGCACGGTCGTGCGTGCGTGAGAAATTCGGAATCCGCCACTGCCGGCTACGCACGATCGTGCGTAGCTGGTCACGCACGATCGTGCGTCCCACGCACGGCGTGCCTTCCCTGCACGCACGGCGTGCGTCTGCGCGGAAAACGGCCAGAGGCTGCTGCCTCGTACGCACGGTCGTGCGTCTGTAGGTACGCGCGATCGCGCGTAGTTGTTTTTAGCCCGTTTCGCCCCGAATTCGCGGGGTTTGACCCCGGGGTGGCCCGCACCCAAACCCAATGACTCGTACGACCCAAATAAGCCTAGAAATACAGGAAAGTAAGTGTATTACCTGCAACGGAGTCCGGGTTTGCTCGCGCATCCGCCTCGGTCATTGCGTACACTCGTGTTTGGGTCCCACATTGGTTGCCGAACATAGCGTTGCTCGTCGTTGGTCCCGTATGGTTTCCTTCCACGGTGAGCCCTTCATCGGCTTTCGATGTTTCTCGTTGTCTCCTCCATGGGCAGCTTAATTTCATATGGGTTGTGCTCCCACATTCGTAGCACATCGGGGGCTCGATGCACTTTCCGAAATGCTTCTTAGAGCAATTCGAACATTTGGATGATCTTAAAGAGTAAGGAAAGGACGTATGCCACTTTGAGTTCCTTTTCCTTTTTACCGGTGATGCTGGTGCCGTAAAAGTGCTTTCTCCTCCTTGGTCGTTTGCCCAAGGATGGGTTTGACTGACAGTCATATCACGTTGGGAGGTGGCCCGATCTCGCCTAGCCTGACGCCTACGTTCGTTTCTCCTGGTGTTCATGTTACACATCGAGCCCACGTGACTAGCGCTTGCCGCTTGGCGACCCTCGCGGCCCTCGCGGCCCCCATGACCTATTCCTCTCCTCGTAAAGGCTCGCGACACAGCCCGGCTAGCCTCAAGGTAAGCTACCGACGCTTGTCCCTTAGGGTCAATTCTTGTTGCCATTCGCCTACCCTCCATTTCTGAAACGGAATTTGGACGAGTCTTTAGACTCCTATAAATGTCAATTGACGGAAAAACGTTATAGACACATATTGACCCAAGTCACCACCATACCAATTGTTAAGGGTACCGTCTTAACAATTAGAGGCCTTGCAACTTAAGCACCAATAGTCCTATAAACGTCAAAATACAATGCTCATGGTTTTCGGTAAGAACTCTTTTGTAAAATCTTTTGTGAGAGGTTGATTATATAGTTTAGAACTGAGATGGCTCTGATACCACTTAATTGTCACGCCCCAGACCGCGATCCAAGCGCGTGTACAACCGCCGTATAACTAAGTGACGTCACCCACGAGTCAACCTCACTTAATTACACAAGGCGTTCGAGAAAACAATTCATCCATACTCAGTAGTAAACATACATAACAACATCACATTTAAACCAATGAATAGCGGAAATATTCAACGGTAAGTCATGAGCCACAACCGGCCAACAACATGGGCATGCAAGCCCAAAAAGTGTTTATAGTAAAACAAATACCCATGAGCAAGTGTTCGGTAGTTTGAAAGAAAATAAGGAAGCACGAACCACGTCTTCCTGATTTGATATCACCCGTGAGAAGGTGCAAGTAACAAGCCCTAGCTTCAACCTGAAAATGGTGGGGCCCCCCGAAGGGGTCAGTACAAGTACCGAGCGAGTAGCAGGCTAAATATAGAATAACTAGCGTTTCAAGTATAAGACCCAAACATAGGGTGATACTTAAATAGATAGTCCTTCCCCCAAGTTATGAAATACTTATAAGTATATATATATACTTGGAAAATATCCGATCCGTAGATCACCATTTTATTTGGGAAAAATAGTATTAGTCAATATTCTTGACTAAAAACCTCAACCCACCCATATACCTATGAGTGTATAGGACTCCTCCTTGTCCCTATTTGTATATCCTAATTTATGAGTTTTAGGATCAAAATCCTCGGATACTCCACCGGTTTGTGAGTGTTAAGGCCTCATAAGTCCTAGGGTCCTCCACCAAGTTTTGAGTGTTAAGTACTTTTAAGTACTAGGGTCCTCCACCAAGTTTGAGTGTTAAGTACTTTTTAAGTACTAGGGTCCTCCACCAAGTTTTGAGTGTTAAGTACTTTTTAAGTACTAGGGTCCTCCACCAAGTTTTGAGTGTTAAGTACTTTTTAAGTACTAGGGTCCTCCACCAAGTTTTGAGTGTTAAGTACTTTTTAAGTACTAGGGTCCTCCACCAAGTTTGAGTGTTAAGTACTTTTTAAGTACTAGGGTCCTCCACCAAGTTTGAGTGTTAAGTACTTTTTAAGTACTAGGGTCCTCCACCAAGTTTTCCTATTATCAACCTCCTATCAACCTAGATAGAGTCTATATCATACTTAGTTACTCATAACTAATCCAATACATAAATTCTTATGTATCACAACCCATGCAAAACCATGCATGTATATAGATTTATATTTAATTAATACCAACCGGTATTAATTAAATCCTTTGTTCTTCGGTCCACGTTTTCGTTGACCGCCATTTCATGCCTTGTGTGTATCAACTTAATCATCATATAATTAAGTTAATAATATTCATTTGTGCTTCTAATACACTTCAAGCAAATATGCATTTCATATAATTCTTCATATCATATTCCATGCATCAACAATTAATTTCTTTCATACAAACTTAACCCTATTGGCTAATCACATGTTTAAATATCTTTTAAACATTATTATGAACTCATATAACATTTATTTAGGTAATCTCATAATTAACCCAAAGTTATAAGATATTAAGCCGTCCACTCACCTTGAACTAGCGTTATGAAGTTCTACCCTTCTTGGTTGAACTCCGGTGAAACTCCGGCGACTTTTGGTCAACTCCGGCGACAACTCCGGCGACTTTTCCAACTTTGTGAAACCACTTGAAATACCCTTTACAAGTGCCTAACAAGGTTTTATAATCATAAAACCCATATTAATACAAATAACCTCAAAAAGGTTATTTCCCGGTAAACCGGTCGTTTTGGCTTCTAAGTCCGTTTTTGGACGTAGAACCATTTTCCATCCCATAAATCCATACTTATAACATGTGAAACCATACTAAGGATCCCTCATATGATATATATCTCATATTGTAAAAGAAAAATAGAGGAAAAGGTATAATAAGGTCATTACCTTAATTATTCACACTTTTCCCAACTTTTTCTCTCTTTAATCTTCCTCCTTGGACCACTTTAGGTTGAGCTCGAATATTGGCTATGGAAGATGAAGTTTCAGAGCTTTTTCTCCTCCTACCCTTGGTGCTGGCCGAACTCAAATGATGAGGGAAGAGAGGGGGTGTTCACTTTTGCCTTGATTGGCAAATATGTGATGGGAGGGGGGTCACCCATGTACCTTAGATGCCAATACCATCTTTTCAGCCTCTTCCCTTGTCTATCCAGCCCTCTTTGATTAATTGGAGCACACAAAAACGTGGGGTGGCCCCCACTCATGTGGGAGGTCATCCCTTTGTGTCCCAGTGTGTACAATCGGTCCCGAAAGTTGTATTTTTCGGACTGTTTTAAATATATTTTATTTTATCGGGTCAAATAAAATATATTATGTGATCTTACTCATTATGACATGTATAATGAATATACATTCCCCAACTTTAATTTATAAGCCCCCGAAATTCAGTTCGGGCTGTTATCAGTTAAATTACCAGTACCGATAATTTGGGCTCCTTTTGACCAACCGGTCTACTCTGGGCTTTTCCATAGCCCAAATGAAATATCCACCACTATATATTTATTATCTAGACCAAGATGAATAAAATATATGGTCTCGGGAATGTCGGGCGGCCCCCGCTCCCGGTGTGTGTCCCACGTGCAATTTATTATTCACGTGAAAGAAATAACAAAAATTTACAACTTCGTAAATTCATTAATTCTTTAATAAGGTTCAATACATTATTTACATAAAAGTAAATATATTTGGGGACGGTGTTACACCATGTCATGTGTTTCGCAGTAGCAGTCGAAGCGTACATCCTCTGCAGTCGAGGAGCTATTGGGAGGTAATACAGTTTAGACAGTGCAGACCTATGTCGTGGTTTCTTTTTACCTTGACGAACAGGTTTGTATCTGTCTCCACCACAGAACTTGCAGAACTCAAGTGCCTCATCCTCCTTCCAGAACAACATACATCCTTCCGGGCACGCATCAATTTCAACACAAGGTAGCCCCAACTTAGACATTAACTGCTTCATGTGGTAATATGAATCCGGAAGGGTATGATCTCGCGGTAGCATCCCTCCTACTGACTGCAAGACTCTATTCATGCAAGTTTCAGGGAGACTGTATTCGGCTTTTATGTTCATGAATTCAGTAACGGCGGATAGCTGAGAGTATCCCTCACAATCAGCATACAGAGGTTGGTCGGCAGCTTTTAGAACATCCTGAAATCTCTCAGCCAAACCTTCATCCACATAAGGTTGATAAAATGTCGGATTTTCATCCGCATCTGGTTGATACGAGGTTGAGGCTTCAGGGGGGTCGTTAGGTGGTTGTGGGGGGTTGAACTGAGACATCGGTACACCGTATGCGTCATATACCATTTGTTGGTCCCACCTCATTTCAGCACGGTCTCCCCACGCACTCATCTCTGGAGGGACATAACGAGACGAACCTACCGTTTGTGGTATAACAGATGGATCCAAAGGTTCGCCGTGAGAAGTCCAATTATAATAATTGGGAACAAAACCGACCGCGTACAAATCATACCCAACTTCGTGTGGGTCTTTAAATTTGAGATTTTTACACTTTGAACATGGACATCTTATTTTATCACCACTCATATAAGCCGGATGTTCAAGTGCAAATTCAATAAATTCCCCAACTCCCTCGAGAAAATTTGATTGCATTCCGTACAATACCGCATCTTTATCATACATCCAACTTCTATTTTGTTTATACATTATGCCTGAATATTATAATAAAAAAGTATACACGTTCAAATACTAACAATAATACTAACAAATTTTAAGTGAGTTATTTCACTAAATAATCAACTAACTAATTTTCACTAAATTAAATGAAATGCACACAATTCACAACAATAATTCACAAAATATAAGTAATTACCTAATACTTAAATTTAACTAATATTACAAAAAATTTAAGTAATTTATTAACACTACATTTAAATTAAACATACGTTTAACTAAATTTAACTAATTCATTTAGTTAAATTTAACTAAATTTAACTAGTTCATTCCGTCCTCTTTTAATGCATCACTACGTTTAAACCTACGTTTAGCTAACTAATATAACACAATTAACACATCACTAGCTACGTTTAAACCTACGTTTAGCTAACGAATTTTAATTAAATTATTTTTGTAAACCTACATTTAAACCTACACTAAATTATTACGTTAATGACATTTAATGTTATTAGTACTACACAATTAACAATTCCAATTCACTAAATTAAATAATATGACCAAATTAAACCCAATAATTTGAACATGTATATAAGGTCATTTGAATTAATAAATAATACACAATTACAATAACAATTCACAATACACTTAATTAACACATTACTAACGTACGTTTAACTAACTAATTTCACTTAACATAAAGATCACTACGTTTAAAACTACGTTTAGCTAACTAATTTTAATTAAATTATTTTATAAACCTAACAGTTTAACTAATTTTATGACATTAATACGCTTACAATTGAATATGTTGTTAATTAATTAACAACATCACTAATTTAATAGTTTTAATAATTTAAATTGAACCAACTAATTCTAAATAAAAATAATAATTCAAATAACATACCTTAACTGCATAAATGGGGAAAATGATAGAAGACAGACTACATCCTTCGATCTTTCAAACAGATACTGTATATACTAGGAATGAATTGGTGTGGTTCTGTTGAATGAACTGCTCCTGCATATATAAAAAATTTAGTCACGGACTTAGTCACGGATTTGTCCGTCACTAAGCAAAACCGTGTCCATTACGCGTCCGATCCGTGTTAATGACGTGTAAATGACGTGTAAATCAAAGTAAATCAAAGTAGTCACGGACATAGTCACGGCCATGTCCGTGACTAAATTTATCCGTACATAATACCGTTGCGGAATGATTTATGGGAGATGCAAAATTAATTTTTAAATTTAGTCACGGCTGTAGTCACGGATGTGGCCGTGACTATGTCGCCGGAGTAAAACAAGCCAGGCCGGAAAATCAAACGAGCAATCGGAGGATGTTAGTCACGGACAAAAATCCGTGACTACGTGTAGTCACGGCTGTAGTCACGGTAAAATCCGTGACTAATTTTTTTTTAAATTTTCGTGACTAGTCCGTGACTAGTCCGTGACTAGGCTAGTCACGGACCAAATCCGTGACTACGGTCCGTGACTAAACGAGTGTTTTTTTGTAGTGGGAGATAAATGGAGATAAAATGTAGACCTAGAAGTCTATGACAAGGCTCACTAATGAACCTTACATGAGATTCAAGAATGAAAAGTAGATGAAAAAGAGAGTTAAAAGTGATATAAAAAATGAAAATGAATAAAAATTAAGAAATACGTAGGTCTTACAAATAAAAATTGTGAGATAAAAAAAATGGGACTCGTGTGTAAGGGTGTGTAAAAGATCATGTGTTTCATCTTTTGAGCCTTATCAATCAACTTTTTCACTAAACACATAACTTTTGATTTCACACAATGAAAGTAAGGTAGAAGTTACTTTTCTGACTGAATTGGCCGAAGTTAATGTAGAAGACCTTTTTAGTTATTTTTTCATATAAATTTTTCTTTATTTCATTAATGAAATATATTCTAAATATAATTTTTTAAAATAATTCAGCAGAATTAGCCAATCTAATCTAGTCATTTCCACCAGAACTTTATAAATTTTAGCAGAATCAGTCGATTCAACCAAATTCGGTATTTTCACAATTTTCTCCAAATTTAAATGAAAATAAGGGAAGGAAACATTATAAAAAAGATCAATTTAACGAGTATTTTTAAGTGACACTACTTATCCTAACTCAAATTAAATATGCAACTCTTTGAACCACTAATTATTTCTAATTTTCTAAATTGAGTCTCATAATTACCAACAAACGGTTACTTAGTTCCATATTATATTTGAACTCAATGTATTCATCATGCGCATAGGATTATATTCAAAACTCATGGAAGTAGTTATAAAGGCACAGGCTTAGCAAATTTAATAGTTTAAACATTGTAAGGTTATCATAGTCTTTAAGAAAAGTTAGTACTCCATTTTAATAAGAACGTACAAGCTTGTATGCGTAAAAAACATTGACACAAATCAAGGATATTAACCTATCTTCACCTATGGTGCACCGATACTTCACCCAGATGTCGTATCCGCGTATCCGATACCGACATACACCGATACGCTTCATGTACGTATTGGGTCTGTATCCGTAATTTAATAAAAGTATCGAGCTTATTTTAAAAATACTGATACTTCTGATACTCGTATCCGTGAACCGATACGCGTATCTGACCCTATAACCCCCATTTCATACACGACATGATGAAAATTTAGTAGCCTTCCAAGCGACCACAAGATGTAGAACATTGATAAAGATGATTTCGGGAGTATGGAAAATAATGGAATACTATAATTTGTCACTTTATGACTTGATAAACTTTAATTGAAATAAGACTTAGATATAAATGCAAATAGAAAAAAAAAATATTATTTGAATTTAAATCGAAATATCAATACTTTAGTTTTTTTAGTCTAATCATTGAAATGTTATTATAATAGTTAATTTTTTGTACTATTATTATTTTATTTATGAACTTCCGAAATATATATATTTGCAAATTATACCCTATATTTTTATTATTTATAAATATACCCTCGTACCCGTATCTTATAATTTTTAAAATTGCCTTATCGTCGTACCCGTATTTGCGTATCTGCGTATCGGCGTATCTGTGCAACATAGATCTTCACAATTATAATGTTTTTAGAAATATAATACTCCATCCATCCTAAATCTATTTGTAGTTTATTGCTTTTTAAGTGGAATTTGAAAATTATTCAAAAGAGGAAAATTCAAATTGGGATTTCGTAAAAAGTTGATATCTTAAATAAATAAATCCTTAGGCTATGTTTGGCACAACGACCTGAAGCTGGAGGCTTATGTCTGAATTATGGGCTATTGTCTGAATCAGAGACTATTGTCTGGAACTGAAGTCTAAGATGTTGAATCTGAATTGTTAACTGAATAAAGTAGATCCGTTTGGTAAAAAGACTGAAATAATAGCTGGATAACATAAAATTACATTAGAGGATATACAATTAATTAATACGAAGTAGAAATAATATTTATTTTAATGATTTTTATATATTAATTAATATAAAAAATTTAGTGCTTGTGTGTGTGTATATATTTATCTATGTATGCGTGTATATATTATTTACGAAACATAGATATACAAAAAATTAAACACCATTTGCTTCATCTGTCCAATTTAACAACACAATCTTAAAAAAAAGAGTTGTGTATTTGGAGATTCAGAATTGAGGGACGATGAGCTACAGAGCATGGTGAGGGAAGATGATATGGAAAACGATGAAGGTGTTGTTTCTTCTTATTGCTTTGGTTTATACTATCGTATTTAATTTTCTTTCAAGAATGAATGAAAGGATTGAAAGCTAATGGGCAGTAATGGGTTAGATTCATTGGTCAACAGCAACAAGAAAGAGACCAAGGAGAAAATAAAAATAGTTGCAGAGGATAATATTGGAACATAGATGAATTGTACTATAGAATGAAACGTTAGGATGGCTAGCGTTTTTTTGTGTTTTTATTTATTTATTTTTTATTTTTTTATTTTTTTTACTCCAGGGGGTCTGGGGGAGAGGGGCTAGGGGAGCCTGGAGTAATCAGGGCTGAAACTCAATCCATTGAGTTTGGAGTTTCCAACTCTTGTGTGCCTAGCGGGATTCGAACTCGAGACCTCCCACTAGGCACGGTAACCTCACAACCAGCTGGACTGAAATGTTTGATTGGATGGCTAGCGTTCTTATGCGGCCCTATTATTTCAAATCCAGCTGACTTAAGTTCTTTTACCAAACAGGGCTACTCTAAAAATAATTAACTGGATTTAAGATACTTCAGCTCATTTTGAGCTTATTTGACTTGCCAAACATAGCCTTAGTAAAACCGTAATACTTCATCATTATAGGGGACATAAAAATGTGAGGGTACGAGAAGTATAACACATGATAGATTCACATCATTACTTCATCATTTATTTATATTTGAATAATTTAATTTCAATGTTTTCATTGTTTTATATGAACAATCTATCAAAATTTGCCTTAATTTATTTAGTTGTTTCTATAAACGTGTGTAAGGGCCAGGCCGGAGCACCGGTGTGTTAGACGACGACTTCATAGCCATCTTCTTGAACTCACGACTGAAAATCAGCATAGAAACGTGAGGCAAAGCAATGGGCACCAAAACACCGCCCTCCACACTTGCGCTGCTCTTCGGACGTTCTAGAAAAGTGGCGCCGTAAGCGGCTGTGGCGGTGCCTGCATAAATAGCATTCCCCCAACCAAAGTCTAGTTTCTCCATACCAATTTTCGATAGGTCCGAAATGAGTAAATTCCTCTCGATCGGTAACCTCCGGCGCTCGTTAACCACCAAGAAGTCAATCGCCGACTTGACATAGTCGCCGTTCAGTTTCTCCTTGGACTCTCTGATCAACTGGATGGCGTAAGATAGGGGACTCTCGCACAACATCTTAGCGTTGGCGGCGGCGGACAGCATCACGATGGCGTTTCCGTAGTACCCACGAGGAATCGTCAGCCCGGTCGTCGATGACCTTCCCCGGATGTCAGTGGGGAAGGTGATCGTGACCGTAGCGTTGGGGTCGGGCTGAAGCCCGACCGTGCGGCATTTCCACAAACACGCGGAGATCACCTCAAAAGTGGAGCACTTGCCCAGGCCTTCCTCCAAAACCCGGTCTTTGAGAGCCTGAATATCTTGTGGAGTGAGGGTGAATGAGCGGTGAAGCAGAATGGGTCTCAGTATGGCGGGGTAGAAGAAGAAACGGGGCTGGGCTGCCACTTTGTCGAAGTCCAGAGCGAAGCTGGCCCACCTCTCAATGTCGAGCAGCTTGAACTGCTTTTTGTTACTGGTGGCCACCGTGACGGAGCTGCCGTACATGGTGTCCTCTGCCGCCGCCGTCTCTGATGAATCAGCAGCAGCGGTCAACAGTTGTCTCTCCCACACCGGTAAAACTGATGGCGCTAAAGCGCCAGTGGCTAATTCGCAGACGGCCTTTAAGAAGAGGAAGATACCATAGCCGTCCAACATGGTGTGGTTTAAGCGGACGCCAAGCGCAAATCCGCCGCATGTAAAACGAGTCACCTGCGAATGAAAAAACCCACACATTTACATCACTTGTCATACAAATTAAACTTCTCCCTTTCAAATTTACGTATAATGTTTGTATCATTAAATAATCCAACCAAATAAACGCATACGAGTATTAAAACTTCCTCCTTCCCCAAATTGAGCTCGCCTCCTAGTTTGAATTCATAAATAACCTTTTTATATGAATTACGAAAATAAATAAATGCATTGTCGATTTCTACCAATAGAAATATTCCCCTCCACTCCCCTTCCCCATCCTTTCTAACCTTTTAAATGGATTTCTAACTCATAAAATGCTTTTTCATACGTAGTAGCTTTAAGGATGTTTATGCTTTTTCAGTCCAGATCAGACCAGATTTAAACAGACAAGACCAAAACAAGTTAGAATAGTTCAATTCAGACTAGACCAGAACTAAGTTCTTTAATTATAAAATACGCAGAGACCAAGATATTTACCAGACCAGACCAGTTAAGACTAGACAATATTTAAATATATCAAACCAGCCTAGACCATCAAATTTCAGGATACTTTCTTTTGGACTGTTTTCAGTCCCAGATCAGACCAGACCAGACCAGACTTCTGTAGTTATAAAATACACAGAGACCAGACATTTACCAGATCAGATCAGACCAGACCAGCAAATTTTAGTCCAAAAGAAAACATCCTCAATCCAAGTAAAAACATCATAAATGTGCTTGGATTGGACCTTTCCCCAAAAATTAAGGCCGGGGAGCGAGACCTCATTTCCATAAATCCAGTCTCGTTCCAAGCTCGCAAATTGAATTTCCGGTCCCGATCTCAGTATGAAAGTCGACCCGAACCGCAACCAAACCAACCGAACCGCAAGAAAACCGAAACTGAACTCAAAAAACCAAACCGAACCGTAGTTGTTTGGTTTCGGTTTTGGTTTTCACATCGCAAAACTGAACCGAACCGAACAAACCGAACTTTTTAAAATATGTTATTTTATTTATTAACCATTAAGTATAATATATTAATATCTTGTTTAGTTCTTAATTTTTTAATTCTAGAACACTAATGTTTGATACTAGATTTACTATGATTTGCAAGATATTGACATTTGATATTTATGTTTTTATTGAGTCTATTACTATAATACTAATATATTCATATTTTAAATGGTAATTTAAATTTTGCTAGTTGATGCATGACAATGATATTTTCTTGATACATTATTTGTTATGTGTGTTTGTTATCACATAATTTTTTATATTGATCGAATGTGTATTAATATAAACTATACTTTAAACAACATAGTTAAAAGCCTGAAAATCATGAGCATGAATCTCTTTCTCTAAAAAGAAATTAAAATAAGTTATTCTCTATCAATAAAAATCTTTTAGTAAAAAAGATAACGATCGAATTAGTGCACAAAATATTTACAATTAAAATTTTAACTTGCGGATACACTACATATAGTTCGCAAATAAAGTTATGTGTTCAATTAATTTATAAAATGTTAATAATATACACTCTCTAATTCATTGTTTGGAAATGCATTATATTTGTTTCTTCTCTCTTTGTTTAATTATGTTTTTGTATTGTATTACTATTAATTATAGTTTGATGTAGTCTAATTTTTATTTACCAATTACTTTTTTGTAATCAACAAAAATATTTTGGTAGAAACCGAAAAAACCGAAACCGAACTGAAATAAATCGAACCGAACAAACCATGGTTTCGAATTTTTGAACACAAAACCGAACCGAACTGAACTTTTTACTATGGTTTGGTCTTTGGTTTTAGGTGAAAACCGATCCGTTTGAACCGAACCCACCCCTAATCCCATTTACCGACATTAGGAATCCCAAAATTGTAAAGTTTCATTTTTGAACACTAAAGTTTCATATGTATGATGTATCTCATGCTGAACACTAAAGTTTCATAATTCATAGTCTTTGGACAACTCACTTATATTGAATTGTGAAACTTTAGTGTCCAATATGAGATACACATGAAACCATGATGTCTAATTTGGTCCATTTGAAACCTTAGTGTCCAATATGAGATTCTGATGAAACCATAGTGTCCAATTTGAACCTTATCCCAAAATGATTTGGGAATTATTATTTCACCCATAATTAATTTTTATGCCTTCTGATCTTGTAATCGGGAATGTTCAAATTCCAGTTTAATTTTTTTATGGTGGCTCCAAACTCTAATTCAAGAAATATTGGGGGACTACAGCCAAATTTGTGATGCAAATATTAATAATTCACCAAATAACGTGTAAACCCAAACTTATAAAATGTTTTTCTTCTTGTACACACTTTAATAGACACCTTATACTTATCATGTCTGTGTGGAGTTTTTTTGTCTTTGAATTCGATTCACAAAAAAAATAATTTGCATAGATATATTTTGTCTGTGACGAGATTCACAGATAAAAAAAACCCTCACAAACATAATGAGTACAAAAGTGGGTATAAAAGTAACAGTTTTTTGTTTTTCTAAATTAAAGTTTGATATCTTCATTGGGTAAAGCAAGACAAACGTAGACGATATCACGATATGGTCTCTTGTCTTAAGTTCTTAACTATCCGTATGCCTCTTTTTGTTGGTACATTGGCAGGGTGGCGAGACATAAATGTGGACGACAATTTCAATTCAAAACCAACTTTTACCATCTAAACCGGATTGTATCGCGAAAAAGATGATAGTTACTCAAAGCTGATTGACTAAGCATACACCCTTGACATGCCCATATGTAAGCCAATATATGACCCTCTCTATACAAAGCCAATATATGACCCTCTCTACATGCCCATTAATTAGTCCATTTAGAATTAATATATACAAAGCCCATTAATTAATATATGATATATACTCGTATATATCATCCTCCGATCGTCTTTATTTATAATTAGTCCATCACCTTAATTAGAATGTTTTCTTAATTAGAATTTTTTTAATTAAGCTATATGATATGATATGATCTGGTCTAGTCTGATTTGATCTGATCTGGTAAAAATGTCCGGTCTCTGTGTATTTTATGATTATTAAAGTCTGGTCTTGTCTGGTCTAAACGGGTCTAGTCTGATCTAGTCTGTCTTATTAGTCTGGTTTGAAACTGAAAACAAAATATTCTTACATAATCATGAGAACGTGTGTTTGGAAAATGGCTTCCAGTAAAAATAAAAATAGAGGTTTCATCTTTGTTTATAGCGTTTTCAATTGATGAAATCCTTGATGCATGTTGTTTGGCCCTGACATTTTTTATGGAATAGCTGAAATATAAATGCCATAAATAACGGTGTTTTAGGTTTATCATTTTGAAATACGAAGTATTACTTGCTAAATTCTACGGTCAATCAGCTGAATTGCCCAACATATTTTTATAACCCAACTCAATCCGCGTTAGTCAAATCCATTGACCGACGCTATCAACACTTTGATAACACCTAATTATTGATTGCCAAACACACACTATATTGTGATTGCTACATGTATAATCTTTTTACTTTGTAATTTTTTTATCTGATCTGGTTAAGCTTAGTGTTGTTGGCTCTGGCATGACTTATGCAATGTTTGCTATTGCGCATCCTTCTACTTTTAAAAAAAAGATTCTTTTAAATGATTTTAGAGAAAGTATTTAATAGTAAAAGTTGGTAGTCAAAGAGAAAAAAACTGAAAACGTAAAAGTCTTGGTGTTAGATAAAATGTCTTGATTTCCATAGAAAAAGTGAAAAGAACTTGAACGCACAGATGCACTCATACAAAACACTTTCAACTTTTAGCTTTAAGTAATTAATTAATTTAAATAGGACAAGTCACTTAAAAATACTTATTTCAACTTTTAAAATGAAAACGGATTGGAAAAACTCTTTATGAAGTTGTTGTAAAAGTTATTTCAACTTTTTAAATGAAAACTGATTGAAAAAACACTATATTAAGTTGTTGTAAAAGTAATCGACTTAAACGGGAGTAAACATAAAATTCTTGTCTAAATAGGAGTTCACTCCTAATCTTTCCCAAATAGGACTTAGTGACGGACAAATATATTAAAATTTCGGGGCAAATATACCTAGGGAAAAAATTGGAGGGGCGGCGCCCCCCCATTAGCCCTGGCCTTTGTTCGTTGCTGATAGAACTAAACATTAATTTTCTTCCCGAATACCCCTATTCTAATTAATTAATTGTCCCACTAGTTTTACTGGGCAACGAGGGCACTCCGTTTGTGGCGGGCAGTCTTGTGGTGGCGGTGGGAAAGCTCCGGCGGAGGCGGCAACAGATGGCCTAGAAAAATATGGTTTTTTGGCCCAGCAGGAGCTCCAGTAGCCAGAATCTTGGCGGCGGCTGAAATCTGGCCTGCGGTGGCGGATCTCTGGTGGCCGGCGGCAGCTAGAGTCAGGTGGTGACAGCTGGCATGGGCAGTGGTGGCCCATGGCAGGGGCATTTCTGTCCGGTGACAAAAAACTCCTATTTTGAGATTATTAAACTTCCACTCCTATTTTAGAATTTTGAACATATTTTGATTCTAGATGGGGTGAAAACAGGGGTGGAGCTAGGGGTGGGCTAACCTAAATTTTAAAAATGTCTAAATTTTTAGTGTAAAAAATTGTGTGTAATTTTTTTTCAAAAATATTCTTTGTATCGATCCAGTCCGACCCAATGTCTTGACTCCACCCCTTTTGTGAAGTGGGTAAACACTCCCTTAAGAAGTCTTTATACGCATATTTCATACTACCTATTTGGTTATTATTATATTCCGTACGTACTATTTTCTGAATTTGATTTGTGCTATGTTTGCCATGCATCCAAACAAATCTAATTAAAATTTTCCTAAACCTAAATATTGATTCCGAGCAACCCTATAATAAGGTTGGTTGTCATAGGCAGTCATATCAGCAATGAATAATCCATATTTTCGTCTTGCTTGTTGCCACCGCACATGGGAGGTCGTGTCGAATTTAGTATGTACTTCATATACAGTTCAATAATTTAAGAAAAAAAACTCCCTATTGAGATGTCAATTTTTAATTAGATTTTATTTTGGAGTTTACAACATTGAAGAGATTTTAATGGAGTTTATGAATATGTAAATTTTAGTTATTAAAAATTGAATTATATATCAACAAGAAGAATTGATTTTTATTATAGGTTCACAAAAAATGTTAACTATCAAAACATTTTGGGACGGAGGGAGTATATTTTATTTTGTGAACAGACTATTCATATATAAAAAGAAGAATTGTCCAAAATATGTCTAACAATTTTTTTTATAGTTTAAAGCCATACCAAAATAGGAAAGGAAGGCCCCATAGTAATTGCTCCGTATTAATTTGTCAGCCTCTCAGCCGTTTCAGGTTGAGTAATGACTTTAAATTGTAGACAGCAAATACGTGTCCCGTTTCTAATACGGAAAATTGGCCTATTTTTTTTTTTGGAAAATTATCTTCAATGTCAATAAAAGTACTACCGACTATTTAGTTTTTCTAATAGGAGTATATAAGGAATGTGTTTTTCCTTAGAATATTGAATGTTGTCGTGTCATTCTACCTCCGTCACTAATAAAACTTCCAAATAGGTTAAGATAGTGAATATTGTGTGGCGAAAAGTTGTGCGAATGAGAGAGAAATGTGTAAGAAATGTTGTGAACCACAATTTCTTTATTAAAAAGGGAAAGTAGAAGTTTTAATTGGAACAGACGAAAAAAAAAAAGTTGGAAGTTTATTTAAGAACGGGGGAGTACATGTCTTCGATGATAGTTTTACTCATATGACACATAGAAATGTGTTTTACATCATTCTTGGTGTACACAAGATGTACACAAAATATGCACTGTGCATGTATACATAGGCAACTAGGGGGTTTTGTCTGCCATTCGTGTAGAACTCAGTTACGCTAAGAACTTTTCATTCAAATTATCCTTATCAAATTGTCTTCTGCTGCCCATGACCGAGAAAATTGTCATCATTTTGTAAAAATTGCACTTTGTATCAAAAAGTGTCATCTCAATGGCATTTTTGAAGAGTAAGAATGCAAATTTTATGTTATATTTAAAACAAAATTTGACATTTTTAAAAATTCAAAGCAAATGAAGAAGAAGTACGCTCTAGAATTTTCATCATCCAATGCATATGCAACGACGAACCATCTCGAATTTTCAAGGACCCGAGATGAAACAAGAGGGAGAAAAGAGATCGAGAAACACACGAGAGAGGAAGAATTGAAAAGAAGAAGAAAAAAAAGGAACAGACATGCGACAAGAATGAGCATCTATTTCACCACAAGATCTGAACTAAAGCTTGCCGTCCACCGTCACTCGTTGTTGCTCACCGCTGATAGCGGTTGCTCACCGCCGCTCATTGTTGCTTGCCTGGTTCTACGTACTTGCTCCATTTACGTGCTCACTGTTGCAGACTTGCAACCAGAGGGGAACACAAAAGGGTGAATGGGTGATGCACAATTGAAATTAATTAAATTGAAGGGGTAAATTAAATTTGGTGTAATGATCCTTTTTGGGTAATAAAAGTATACATACTCCAATTTAGGTATTTACTAAGCAACATTTTACTCTATTTAAGGGAATATCTCATTTGTTTGTTTATTATTTTATGCACTCCATAGTCCATACGAAAAAAAATGGAGTCAATACGCATTGTTCGTTTATCTCATTTTACTCATTTTTTTATGCACTCCATACGCATTGCACGGGAGTCAATAGCCACAACCGCAATTTATTACCAAGTACGCAGTACTACGTAATAATGGAGTATAATGGATTGACGACTGATACTAAAAGTTACAAAGAGAAGAGGTTAATCAAGACACGCAAAATCCAAATTATTTTCAAACAAATATTAGCAATCTTCTTAAAAAAAATGCAACGTGTTCTATTTGATCACGTTTTATTTGTTAATGTATTACTTAGTACGTAATATATTTTTTTGAAAAAAATATTACTCCGAATTAAATTTGTTTTATTGTAAATTTTCAATATCTAATTTTTTTAATTTTTTACTAATAGGGAATTATACGGAGTATATATTAATGATCAAAGTTATATATCGGAAAATGTGAAATGTTGACCGTTTCATTCGGTATCACGGTAGGTATAAGAAAGTTTTTCGTGGAAATATTACTAAAACAAAATTTATAAACTTAAACGTGACTAATAAGATAGTTAATTAAATGGTATCTAGTAGAAGTATTTGTTACACAAGCAATGGAAATAAGGGCGGGGTGGGGCCGGGTACCTGAAGAAGGAGAAGAGGGGCGCCGGTGATATAATCGGAGCCAGGCACGTGATACAGAAGCTTCTCGAGATAAGGGCTCGGCGATTGCACAAAACGGCCCAACTTCTGGAGGGAGAGGTTGGCCTCCGCCCTCACAAAGAGCACTCCCTCGCCGGTGCAGTCCACGCTCAGCTTCTTCTTCGGCCCTTCGACGAGCCGGCCGGCCAGCGGGTAGTAGAACACCAGCGCCTTCGCCAAACCTTCCCTGATCAGCTCAGCCGGATCATCAGTGACGTCGCTCCCGGGCTGCGGCTTATTAGAGCCCGCCGCCGCCTTGCTTTTGTAAAACCAGACCAAGGGCATTTGGTACCGGAGGCTGGCTTGGTCGTCCACGTCAGACAGAGGCTTCGTCTCTCGTGGCGTTGGCGTTTTTGGCGAAACCAACTCCGGCTTACGCATTCGGACTGTCATTCTAGGTGGAAACAAACACGCCATTACTTTTTACTTCTAAACGATATTTAATTTCGATGCCGAGTTATTTAATTAAGCTCTGATCTAGCTTACTCTGATGGATATTTAAGTCACTGAACAGCCGATTGACTAAGCTAAGCTAGAATTGAATGACACTGGTGGTGCATGGGCTTGTAGTTATAGCGCAGAGAAGTTGACGAGACACCTACGTATATGTGTTGAAATCTTAATGAATTGCGATGGAAAATGAAGGCAATCAATTAAGTCGGTATAAGACTTTATGGATCGATCTATTGACTTTTTTAGAGTTAGTTGTGTCTAATGTCTATTGCCTATGGGGGGCGGCCCGCCGGACGTATACAAAGTTATTATCCATACAACTTTTTCTTTTTTATTTTCATAATATACGCATTTTAATTTCATGTACGGAATTAAAGGTTTTCACTGAAATTGGGGCGAGACGCGCGTTCCCCCTTGGCAGGCAAAATATAGCGGACATGTGGTTTTTGCAAATATTTACAAAGTGGGATTTGTCTAAATAGGACTAAAACTTATGAAAAAACTCATCTTAGTACTATCACTTTTCCGTTTAACAGCATGAGACTAAAATATAGATGGAATACCAAAACTGCCCTGTAAAGCCACTCTTCTTCCGTTCGCGACTTGTGAATGTTACGCTGAAGAAAGTCTCTGCATCGCGTCTGCACCTTTCCCAGGTAAGCTTCTTCTTCTTTTCTTCTTCTTTAAAGCTATTTTCTTTCTTCCACTTTTACTCTTTTCTTCTCTTTTGGATATTCGTTTTTTATAAACTCCATCAAATTCACTTTAAATAATTCATACTATTTTTCTCACCAATTGGACCTGAAAATGGCATAATTGCTATGTTATTGAACATTGATTTGGAAAAAATGTCACTATCTTGACATTACATTTACCAAGGTGACAGATTTTATTTCACATTTCTAAAGAGTAAAAATGACACCAACTCGACATTTTTCACTTTTCTCACCAATTGGACCTGAAAATGGCATAATTGCTATGTTAGTGAACACTGATTTGGAAAAAATGTCACTGTCTTGACATTACATTTATCAAAATGACAGTTTTTATTTGACATTTCCAAAGAGTAAATGACACCAACTTGACATTTTCCACGACTGTCGTGTTTTTATACTCCCTCCGTCCCACTGAACTTTGTCAACTTTCCCCTTTTGTTTGTCCCAAAAAACTTTGTCACTTTTCCTTTAAAGCTATGAATTTGTGGCTCTGTTCATTTCTCTCTCCTCTGCACAAATCTCAACCACACAGTTTTTACTATTCTAATTTCTCACCTAACATCAACTTGGCAAAGTTGAGTGGGATGGAGGTAATATATGGAAATGTCATCTCCATGACATTTTGGGGACAAAGAAAAGATGAAATTTTACAAAACCGAGTAAGAAGAAGAAGAAATCAGATGAGGAAGAGAAATTTGGGAGATAATGTTTGAATGTTAAGAGGAAGATAGAAAAGGAAGTAGAGAAAGGAGAGTAGTAAACAACCTGGAGTTTTGGACTGGACATCGTAGAAAAAGATCGATTGTTGAGATGCAGGAGAAGGTGGTCGCTACTGCAGGGGAGAGGATTGATTTTAGGTTGCAGGATAAGAGGATTGTTGTTGGAGTTACATGAGAAGAGCATGGCACAGAAGAAGATCGGTGTTGGAGGCGGAGACATGATACGCACAGGGACATTTTAGACTTTGTAGAAAACGTAAAAACTGATAATAGGAGCGGATGACTCCTATATTGAAGATAAAACATATTAATTCCTAATTTGGGTTTTTGTCTATGTTTTTGTCCTATTTAGAACAATTACTTTATTTACAACTAAGATAACATTTACTCACCCATTTTGCATCTTGTTTTCCAAGCGCCAACCCCAGAAGTACATCTTGGAACCGCTTTGACGCTTCCTCCCAAGAAATCAACTTGATGGTACCATGGATCACAACTATATACCAAGATTTAGTTAAAGCAAAGCTGATCAACGGGATCGGCCCACTAATTGGGATTAATAATAAATAATAGTTGATGGGCCTAATTAGGGACACGACCCGCGAGAGTAACCTACAACTAGGTCAGGCTGGACAGCAGACCTCGAGCCCAGGCAAAGTTACGTTCAAGCGAGGTCGGACTTTTCCAAGGGCTTCTGTGGCAAACTATCATTCGTGCATAGCTATCCGGTAGCGACATGACACAACGGGAGGATTGGAGGAACAATGATTGCACAACGCTCGATATGTTACAAGACTCTTATTAGAATTAAATGCATTAAATCTATCAGTTTCCTCATAGAATACTAGAACTTAAGGTCTATATATACTTCATGTACACATCCTACCAAGGATCCAAATTCTGAAATAATAATACTGTCTTGCGTTGCCTAAATTTCATCTGCTCTCGTAGATAAGCTCTCGTAGTTGGATTTAAACTCCATCATTTGGTGCTCTCGTTGAGAGAACAATTTACGACGACAATGGTTGGATCAACAAGTCACAACCGTGTTGGCAGCAATCAAGGTGGTGCTCGAATGGATCAGGTCATAATTGAAGACGAAGGATCACGCTCACGATGGAGCCATTTCCGGAAAAGGAACAATAGCCCGGTGATTCAAGGCGATTTGAGGAACCACCTATGACGTCCACTGTGTCGTGGTGTGCACTCAAAATAATAATACAATACAACAATTATACGTAGTATAATGAAGTAAGGTTCGTATCCTCAGGGAAAGGAATATTTCTCTTTTTAATTAACTAGTAACAAAGGGGGGTTTTAGATTTGATTTGATTTAATTAACACTAAGATGAATGACTTAAATGAGTTTAAATAATGAGAAGAAGATTTGGTTTTGCTTTTATCCACTTAATGAAATGTTTGTCGATCCCGGTTATATCTTTAACTATCTTCCTCTCGAATACTCAATCGAGGAGTATATCCAGTTCATCGAGGGTAGTTATTAATAACGAGAAGCGTTCATTAATAAAACTTACTATCGAGTCAATATAGAACAAGCGCCGTATATTAAATTGATAGTAGCAATAAACTTAAGATGAAAACGATTGAGATTGATAACCTCAACACAAGCGGTTTATTGGTTTAATCAATATAATTAATTCCCCTTAGATTATTAACCATGAGATGCATGCATTAATAATCCAAGTTTACTACCATGAAAGGACCGAATTAATAACAAGCGTATTAATCGACCGATTCTAGTATTAATTAATATATGAAACAAAACTAGTGATCCTTTAAGTAATGTTCAAAATATTAATATGAAATATGAATAGGAATTAATTAATACTCAAGAAAGAATATTAAAGAAGATGAATCCTACTATAGTTAATATCAAGATGTTAACTAATTGTCATCTTAGTAACACTCCCCAATATTAACGTAGCGGAAGAAATAATTATTACTATAACTAATGTCAAGATGTTAACTAATTGTCATCTTAGTAACACTCCCCAACATTGATATAGAAATAGTATTTAAAGGAAGAATTAATATTCAAGGAAGAAGATTAAAGAGAATAACTCACAACTTACAAATTCATTAAGCTTCAAAGTAGCAAAACCAAGATGGAAGAGTTTAGCTCCTCATTTGGAGACTAAACATGCTATAAAAATATAAAAGAAATACTATTCTAAACTGAGCTTAAGGGTATGGAAGAAGGGGTATCTAAAAGTGAAGGAAAGGAGGTGTATTTATAGGCTTTTTGAGGTGCAGGTCGGGTACTCGATCGAGTATATACATATACCCGATCGAGTATGTGTAGAAATCAGAATTCGGTCAATACTCGATCAATACTCGAGTAGATTTTATATGTATACCCGATCGAGTATGTCGGTGTACTCGATCGGGTATGACAATAGAACGTGGCCAAATCTTTCCTTGCATGTTCATTTGTTCCCGGATCGGATCCTTGAAAATCAGTTATTGGTACTCGATCGAGTATAAGGTATACTCGATCGAGTATACCCCAAAATCAGGAATTTATCCTTCTTTTTGTCTTGTACTCTTGCACCTTCCTTCACCATTGATCATTTGATTGATCTTGGCCCTGTTTAAGCTCAGAATAAATCTAATCTAAACAAATTACAAGAATTTAACAAACTAAACTATTACACCGAAAGTGTGTAATTTCCGAAATATTAAACAATAAAAACTAACTAAACACGTAAATAAACATACGGAAATTACAAACGTATCAACCTACAAGGTGTTGAGAGCTCTAGGCATCCTGCTACACGCCCACCCCAGTTCCAGACATCGGTGATATGCACTAATTAGTAGTGCATAAACGTATGTTTTTATGTTTGATTTGTGTGTATCGTTTACCATTTTTATTAGTTTGTAAACATTTGTTTTATTTGGTTTGTAATTATTTTTAGCTTCCATTTATAAGTTGTAAAGTAGTGGTAGAGTTTTTGACAAAGAAAAGGAGGAAAAACAAGAGGAATGTTTCCCAGGGACACTTACCTGGTCGGGTAGGAATACTCACCCGATCGGGTACGATTTAACAAGCAAAAGTTCCTGGAAAATCACTGGACCTGTTCGGGTCCCCTGCTTGACCCGGTCGGGTCAGATGTGACTCGGGACAAAATGACATGCTGAAACACAAGAACGTGGAAGATTATCTGATTTTGACATGCACCCAGTCAGGTGGGCACTTGACCCGGTCGGGTACCCGGCCCAAGGTGTTGAAAAACACCTATAAATAGCACACTTTTCCTTCACAAATAATCATTCCTTATTCCATACTCTTAAGCTCAGTTTAGAATATTATTTCTTTTATATTTTTATAGCATGTTTAGTCTCCAAATGGGGAGCTAAACTTCCATTTCTTGGTGTTGCTCTTGAAGCTTGTTGATTATTAAAGTTGTGAGTTATTTTCTTAACTTCTTCTCTTGAATATTAATTCTTCCCTTAATCTATCTATATATTAATGTTGGGGAGTGTTGCTAAGATGACAATTAGTTAACATCTCGACATTAGTTATAGTAGTATTCATTTACTTCCTATATATTAATGTTGGAGAGTGTTGTTAAGATGACAATTAGTTAATATCTCGACATTAGTTATAGTAGTATTTATTTTCTTCCTCTATATATAAATGTTGGGGAGTGTTGCTAAGATGACAATTAGTTAACATCTTAACATTAGTTATAGTAGGATTTATCATCTTTAATATTCTTCCTTGAATATTAATTAATTCCTATTCATATTTCATATTAATATTTCATATTAATTCCTATTCATATTTCATATTACTAGTTTTGTTTCATATATTAATTATTACTAGAATCGATCGACGAATACGCTTGTTAATCGTTGATGGTTTCACAAGTAAGTAACTTTGGTTTATTAATGCACGGTCGTGGTTAATAAACTTAAGAGGGATTAATTTTGTTGGTTAAACCGAAACCGTTGTGTTGAGGTTATCAATCTCAATTGATTTCATCAAGGAGTTAAGAGATTAAATGCTACTATCAAGTTGGTATATGACGCTGTTCTATACTTGACTAATAGTAAGGGTTATTAATGAACAGTCGTTGTTAATAACTACTCTCGATGAATTGGATATGCAAATTTGGGGTGCTTACCTCACACTAGTCATGGACCGGGGCCGGGCTTTATTTTTTGGGAAGGAAGGCCCGGGACCGGCCCGGGTAGCCACCGGGTCCGGGCCTCCGGTTTGGTCATTTTTTTTTTGCTTTCCTAACCCCCCCCTCACCCCCCAAACCCCTCCTAACCATCAAGCCCAACCCGGGTAACCCCAAAAAATGAAAAAAAAAAAAAAAAAAAAAAAAAAAAAAAAACAATTCGGCCCGGACCCAAGCCCGACCCGGCCGGGCCGGTTCGCCAAATACAAGGCCTGAGCACGGACCCGCCTCCCCCCACCGGGCCTAGGCCGGACCCGGACCCGAGAATCGGGCCAGTTCCGGGCCCGCACAGTAGCGGGCCGGGCCGGTCCCGGGCCAAGCGGCCCGAACCGGGTCCATGACTACCTCACACTCCTTCAAAGTTTGAGCTATTTTAATTATTTTTTCCTTTTTTAGTAAATGAAATGATAACAATTATAATAATTTATTCTAAGGTGTGTAGTTCTCATGTATATAACCGAAACATAAAATTATAAATACGAAAATTGTAAAGATAATACTCCGTAGTTTATAAATAAAGTCGTGGGAACAATGATTTAAGTAAAATTGTGCGCTTTTGAAGGACGGTGGAGATTGGGAGAGGTATCACACTATCACGTTCAATCAAAGCTCAAGTATGTGACTACATATCTAACCTATGTTGCACGGATACGGATACGCCAATACTCGGATACGGGTACGATGATACGGCACTTTCAAAAATTATAGGATACGGGTACGGGGTATATTTATAAATAATAAAAATATAGGGTATAATTTGCAAATATATATAATTCAGGGGTTCATAAATAAAATAATAATAGTACAAAAAATTAACTATTATAATAAAGTTTCAAAGATTAGTCTAAAAAAACTAAAGTATTGATATTTTGATTTAAATTCAAATAACATTTTTTTGTTCTCTATTTGCATTTACATTTAAGTCTTGTTTCAATTAAAGCTCATCAAACAATGAAATGACAAATTATAGTATTCCGTTATTTTCCATACTCCCGAAACCATCTTTATCAATGTTCCACATGCTGTGGTCGCTTAGGCGGCTACTGAATTTGTCATGTCGTGTATCAAATGAGGGGTTATAGATTCGGATACGCATATCGGTTCACGGATACAGGTATCGGAATAGGCATGGACCCGGTTTGGCGGCCCACCACTGTGCGGGCATGCAACCAGCCCCGGGTCCGGGTCGGGCCTAGGCCCGGTGGGGGGGGCGGGTCCGGGCTCGGGCCTTGTATTTGGCGAACCGGCCCGGCCGGGTCGGGCCCGGGCCGAATTGATTTTTTTTTTTTTTTTCATTTTTTGGGGTTAGCCGGGTTGGGCTTGATGGTTAGGAGGGGTTTGGGGCGGTGGGGGGGTGAGTGGGGGGGTTAGGAAAGCAAAAAAAAATTATGACCGAACCGGAGGCCCGGCCCGGACCCGGTGGCTACCCGGGCCGGACCCGGTGGCTACCCGGGCCGGACCCGGTGGCTACCCGGGCCGGTCCCGGGCCTTCCTTCCCAAAAAAAGCCCGGCCGGGCCCGGCCCGGAACTGGAACCGGCCCGGGTCCATGACTATATCGGAAGTATCGATATTTTTAAAATTAAGTCTGATACTTTTATTAAATTACGGATACGGACCCAATACGTACAGGACGCGTATCGGTGAGTATCGAATACGGATACGTATCGGATACGTGAATACAGCATCGAGGTGAAGTATCGGTGCAACGTAGTATCTAACAAGGTCAAAGTCTCGAAGGGTTAGGCAATTCAGCTAGGATTGATACTCTTCAATTATTCGTAGGTGACATTTGCATAAATGCATTGCTAGTGAACTAATCTCTTGGGTAGGCATGGCCCGGGTCCACTCCGACCGGCTCGGGAACCGGCCCGGCCCGCCACTGTTCGGCACCAGACCGGTGAACCGGTTCCCATACTGGGCCCAGGGCCCGAACCGGGGGGGGATTAAGGGGGCAGGTCCGGTGTTAGATATTTGAGGACCGGCCCGGCCGGTCCGGGCTTTTTGATTTTTTTTTTTGGTTTTTTTGGGTTTGGGTTCGGTTTAGGTGGGCTGGGTGTTTTCGAGGGGTTTGAGGGGTGGGGGGTTGGAATAAATAAGAAAACCCAAAAAAAAAAATTAAACTGAACCGGCCTGGAATCAGCCTGGCCCGGTACCGCTAGACTCCCGGGCCGGTCCCGGGACTTACCCAAAAAATTCCAAGCCTGGTCGGGCCCAACCCGGAATCGGACCCGGACCGGGCTATTTTCCTTATTGAATTTCCTGCACATATTACATTCCGCCGATTACAATAGACTACAATCACTCTCGGTAACATAATGCACAGACCGGGAATATACATCATAACATTGCTCCTAACTTTTTATACCTTTCGGCAATTACAACGTTTGGGTATCTTATGCCGACTAATGAGCCACCAACGTATAACAGCCACACGAACCAATGAATAAAATGTAGATAACAAACAGGGTCATAATGTTGTATGAATCCTCGACTGGTTAGAGCAGAGGCAAGAGCAATCCGGCCGTTCATTCAACTCCCTCTTCACGAGTCGCTTATCACGATTGATCATCAATTTAATGTGTTGTAACTTTGATGAAACTTGTCGCCATATTTCTTTGACTGTTCCGTTCGGGTCCTCGTATTCAAAATAATGCTTAACCTGAAGGAAAAAGAAAATAAAAAGAATACGGTTTGGTGATTTAGGGAGTCATGGAGTTAAGGACACATAACAATTTACTATCACATACTACTAATATGTTCAGGCCATTGTGTCAGGTAGCCTGACAAAGTTAGAAATTTCAAATGTACGAAATTAAAAATAACATAGAACACATAATAATTAGATAAAGGAAACAAAGTGTGAGCACACAAGAGTGAAATGCAGAAGAATATCAAATTGTATGGTTTGGTGGGAGATATGGAATTCAAATTCTAGCGATTGGCTTGCAGTGGCAACTAATGGAAACATAAGGTATGAATATGCAAAAAAAATTACATCACTCTTCCATTGGAGGAATTGCAATTAGTTAAAATCTTAAATACAGATAGCCATGAAATTTTAATTCTTCAAAATTAAATATTTGCATCAACTTCAAAAATAGAAAAATAAAACAAAAAAAATCCAGCACACCAAACATTTTATTAATGAATCATGAAATGGAATACAACCTGACACGAGTATGAAAAAGCAAGCAAACAAACAGAGCAAAAGTAAAAGGTTACAAATATGAGTGGAATGGGATAGCAGTTCATTCAGGGAAAATACCTTTTTTAACTCTCCTTGAAATTCTAAAATGTTCTCCATGCTCAGTCCCCTAAGAATTTCAACCAAGGCCCCTTGCTTAACTGATGTGCCTGAATCCACGAAAATTGCGATCTTTCTATAGTCTATGACATCTTCAAAGGGCAACTCAATATAGTCACTAACAATGACAGGAATGCACAAGCTCACTATAGCATCAAACAGACGGCAAGCAGATGGTGTGTCACCAGCTGGATGCAAACAAAATTTTGATGTATGCATTCCTTGGGATGCTGCACGACGGCTCTCCCTAGACTGTGTACCATGTTTTATAATGACATCATTTTCACTCTCAAGAACTTGAAAAAGCAAATCGCGAATTTTTCCTCCCTGCAATATAAATAAAACGAACTTATGTCATTATGGAAAAAAACATTAAAAAAATACCATAGCCAAAGCCATAAAAAAGAGTTGGTTATCACAACTTTATTGCTAGTTGAACCATTTACAGAGAAGTTTATGTCTTAGACATACGCTCAACAGATTATCACAGCTCACCACTGATAAGGACATAGAGTTGGTTCTACTACAACATAAGGTATCGACAGTAGTATCCAAATCAGATACCAGCCAAATTGGTACCATTGAGTGGCCAGAGTCTTACTTCATTAGTAACATTATTAATACTTCATTGGGAATTTTTTTTATCATCTTCCATGTTGCGAGGCATTGGTATGAATGTAATGGCTACCTCTTTCCGGTACCGGTTTCCCATGAAGAAGAGCAGTGTCTTGCGGTTTTGAATCCCGATATCTCCCTTATATGTATTAATACGATGTGTGTAAGGCAAGATGACATCCTTAATTAGTGAGGCCTGGTCATGAGCCAACCTACCAAAATCTGATACCAACAGCACTCCGTTCTTCACCTTATCCACAATTTTGTACAAGGCATTCGGATCCTGACATATGAATACATGATCCCAGCCATTATTCCTATTCCAATACTCTTGTTGTTCCAAGTACTCAATCAAAGCATCCTGCACGTTCCCAATAGCAAATAGTAAATATCTGGAAAAGATAAAAAAAAAATATGACAATAACAACACCAAAAGAACATAAACTAAATTGATTCAAGGAAAAGTGGCCGTGAGTGTAAATTTGGGTTGAAAAAACCAAATGAGCTGAATCGTCCAAAAAATCATAAAATTAACTTCAAACTACTCATCACCAGACCGTCACCAAGTACTCAATCACAACTTTATTGCTAGATGAACCATTTACAGAGAAGTTTATGTGTTAGACATACGCTCAACAGATTATCACAGCTCACCACTGATGGGGACATAGAGTTGGTTCTATGACAACATAAGGTATCAACAGTAGTATCCAAATCAGATACCAGCCAAATTGGTACCATTGAGTAGCCAAAATCATAAAATTAAAAGAGCTTTATAAAAAGAACTAAACTATCAGTAAAAATCAGGCAAACTACTCGAGTGCAATTTTGTTCACCCCTCCTGGGAGGGTGAACATAACCCCCTCACTATTTGCTTGCCATGTGGCAAAAAAAGAAATGAAATGCCAAATGGCAACATTTGAGCTATGGGGTGATATTCAGGGTGAACAAAATTGCACTCAAACTACTCCGCTAAAAACATCAGCTAACACAAGTAAGGATTATCAAACACCACTAGTCGGGGCAGCTTAAAATCCTACCTGCATCTTCTCATCACTATACACAGGCCCATCCCCTGAGCGCGGCCGGTTCACAGGATTAACAACAAGGCTCAAGGAAGAAAAAAAGGGCACATAGAAGAGGTCGGCCTGATCGGGTTCAGACACAGGAATGACGGACCACCCCTTCCGGCTACGATCCCTGATGATTAGGCTTGTGAATAGGTGCCATTCGGCCGCATGCTGAGTACCCGGGTACTTGAGCAAAGAGTCTTCCTTTAGCTTCTCCCCTCCTCGGGCCAAATTGTAGCTCTCAATCACCCCATAGGTAAACTCCCTTGGCAGATCGTACATATAAACCTTGACCGATACGGGTGGTTCCGCCTCGAAATACTCCCCATTGCTTGATGAACCCAAATTGCCGATTCCATTGTTGACGGCCAGCGGCTTAGAGAAGATGAAGGAATTAAAGAAGGCGTATAGGGCAAAGATGGATATGATTATGGCGAGGGTTAGGGTTGGTTTAAGGAGTGATCTCCTAGGCATTTTGAGGTTCGAATTCATTGACGTTTTGAAGGAAACATTGTTCGCAAACTTTGGAGAAGTCGAGAGCTGCGGCAATCTAAACTTTGGCCGATTCGGATTCATTGAGTGGCCGGAAACATCTGCGATTCACGCCGATGCGTACAACAAGAACAGAACTCGAGGGAAAACATGAAAGATCTTTTTCACTGGAATATCATTTCGTTTTGTCTGATGTTCAGTGAGAAATACTCCCTCCGTCGAGAAGTTCTGACTGACACTGTTTGGCACTGTTTCAATACTGTTTGACACTGTTTTGCACTGTTTGTTACTGTTTTGATGTAGGATAACTTTCCATTTAGGGAAATGGGAACTTTTTGTTGGGACTGCCAAAAAAGGAAAGTGGGAACTTGTCCTTGGGACGGAGGTAGTAAGTTACAAAGAAGTTATTTTTTTTTTTGGAAGAACAAAGAAATTACGGAGTAATTTTTTTTTGCAACCTCCTCTTTTTTTTAGATTAGTGATGCCATCAGATCACAAGATTCTCGGCACAAAAAAGTTAATTAAAAAATAAGTTTTTTACTTGAATAATATTAATAAATAGACAACTGACAAAAATGTTGAATCAAAAAACAAAAAAAAATTCAGAGTTGTCACTTGTATTTTCCTTGAATAAGAAGATAAGCTAAAGCAAATTGAAATGAATGAAACTGTTTATTCTACTATTTACTTAAATCTGTCTGATTATATGCTAGAAAAGTGGGTATTCTTGAGTCCGCTAAGGATTTGTGGAAGAAATTGGATAAACTCTATACTGATACCCCTTTGGCCGGGAAATTGTTTTTACTTGAGAAATTCTTTAGGTTTAGGCTTGACCTGACTAAGGATATAAATGAGAACTTGGATGTGTTTAATAAACTGATACAGAATATCAAACAGGCAGGTGATAAGCACATAGACGATTATACTCCCATAGTGTTACTAAATGTCATTCCCGACTCTTATAATCATGTCAAGTCCGCTATTAAATATGGCAGGGATGAGATTTCACTAGATATTGTTGTTAATGGGTTAAGGAGTAAGCATTTAGACCTGAAACATGCTAGGGGTTGTAATAGTCAGTCTAGGGACTCCGGTGAGGCTAGGTTTGTTAGAGGTAGATATAAGAGTTGGTCTAAGCACTTTAAGCAAAGTAATCAAAGTAAGAACACTAGTCAGACTGGGAGGAAGAGGAACAAATCTAGGAAGAGAGTGTGTTACAATTGTGGTAACGCTGGCCATTAAGGATTGCCCTAACCCTAAGAAAGCCGAGCATGCTAGTGTAGTTGTTGATAGATGTGACCTTGGTGAGGTTTTGATTGTTTGTGACCATGTTAATTCTATACGAAATTCCTTATCTAAGCATGAATGGTTGATTGACTCTGGTTGTACCTATCACATGTCCCCTTTTAGAGATTTGTTTTCTACATATGAATTATGTGATAGTGACTATGTTTCCTTGACTGATAATAAGAGATGCAATGTGCTTGGTGTGGGTGATATATGTCTGAAATTTTCTTGTGGCTCTGTGTTTACCATTAAGAATGTGAGGCATGTCCCTGATTTGTGTCATAACTTGTTATTTGTTGCTGTTTTGGAGAGTAGTGGTTTACAGGGAAAGTGGGGCAATGGTTGCATGAAAATTCTGAAAAATTCTCTTGTTTTGTTTAAAGCTGAGAAGGTGAATAACCTTTATGTATGTTATGCTAAACCTTTTGCTGATTCTGTGAATGTTGCATGTGCTGATAAGACCTCTTTGTGGCATAATAGGCTAGGTCTGGTTATTTTGGTAAAGACTCTGTGACTTCTGTGTCTTTCTATGAAGCATGTGTGTTGGGCAAGCAGCATAGACTTAGCTTTCCTACATCCTCTTACCCTATCTAAGTGTTCGTCTATTCTTGAATATGTTCATGCCGATGTTTGGGGTCCTGCCAGTTTTCCTACCCACGGTGGTAGGAAATATTTCCTTTCTATTATTGATGATTTTTCTAGGAAGGTGTGGGTTTGCCTTTTAGAACACAAGACTGATGTGTTTGTGAGGTTTAGGGAGTGGAAAACCCTAGTTGAAAACCAAACGGGCAGGAAAGTTAAAACTCTTAGTACTGATAATGGATTAGAGTTCTGTAATAAGGAGATGGATAAGCTGTGTGTGGATTGTGGGATAAAAAGGCACCAAACAGTGCCTTATACTGCCCAACAGAATGGGATAACAGAGAGAATGAATAGGACTATGTTAGATAAGGTTAGAAGCATGTGTAGGTACCTATGGTTTGTTTAAGAAATTCTGGGGTGAAGCAGTTACCACTGCTGCCTATTTGGTTAATAGGTCCCCTTTTGTCCCTTTAGGTGGTAAGTGTCCTGAAACCGTCTTTACCAGTAAGCCTCTTAACTTGTCTAACCTTCGGGTGTTTGGTTATGCAGCATATGCACATCAACAGGTTAACAAGTTAGATCCTAAGTCTAAGAAATGTGTCTTTCTAGGATATCCAGATGGGGTAAAGGGTTACAGGTTATGGGATAAGAACAAAGTATGCTTTAAGGTGGTCATTAGCAGAAATGTAGTATTTAATGAATCTGATTTTCCTTGTTTGACCAAGTCTGTTTCTAATCCTGAGTCTAAGTTTGATAGTACTCCTAGTGAGGTGGAGTCTATCTCCGTTGGTGCTAGTCTTTTATCTGTTGATCCTATTATTAATGATGAAACTGTTTTGCATGATAATAATTCCTCTGAGCATGATAGTCCCACCACCTCTAGTGAGGTGGAGCATTTACATGATGATGAACATGAATGACATGATATGGGTGCCGAATCTGATTTTCATGATAACGGTAATTTGCATTAGTTGCATGAGGAGCCTAGTAATGATTTTCAGAATTATCAACTAGTCTAGAGTGGTGTGTGTGAGATTGGAGACATGAGCCGAGACGGATACGATCCTAACGGCTCCAAAGCATCATGCTCAATTTCAGAAGGGTCCAAAACATTTAATTGTTTGGATTAATTTTTTGGAGGGAACATCACACTCATTTACCATTTAGCAATCAAAATGTGCATTATTAACATTGTTACTGATGTGTACAGTGTCTGCCTCCTCAGTCGCACCATAGGAGGTCACCAACGGTTGGTCAAGAATAGATATATGATTTTCATCACTCAATTTATATATGAGTCAGATCAGTTTCGCCAATAAATATGTCTTTTGAAATCCATTTTTGGATGAGATTTGGCTCCTTTGAAATAGGTATAATTATGATAATTACAATTATCGGTATAGTTATAGTTATAATTATAATTATAATTATAATCATAGGCATATTATTATTTCTATAATTATGATAATTATATTACAATTATAATTATTAAAATTATAATTATTATGGTTATAATTATTGATATGATTATAATTACTATAACTATAATTTTAATTATAGTTGTAATTATATTTATAATTATGATCATGATTATAATTACAATTATAATTATGGTTATGATTGTAAATATGATTATGATTATGATTATTATTGTAAATAAGATTATGATTATGATCATGATTATGATTATGATTATGATTATGATTATGATTATAATTGTAATTATAGTACTAATTATAGTTACATCTATATTTATAACTGTAATTATTATTATATAATTTTAGTTGTAATAATAATAATAATAATAATAATAACAATAATAATAATAATAATAATAATTGATGGAGTAATGGGACTAGGCCCAGAGCCTAACCTGCCCAAGCCCCAAACCTGGACCCGTGGATCCAAGTCCACAACCTGAAGCCTGCTTACCAGCCCAGCGGGGAGCCTGTCAGTCCGGCCGACCTGCCAGCTAGGAAAAGTAACGGTCACGCAATTAATGCATTGTTTAATTATATATTTAATTCTGTATTAATGTTGTAATTAATTAGTCATTATTATCGATAGCAGCTACGAATTGTATACGCCTATAAAAGGCACGTTGTAATTCAAACTAAGGAGGCGATTCTCACTAGGCTGAAATGCTGCCGATTTCTCTACCCGGGTTTTTTCTACCAACATTAATAATAATAATAATAATAATAATAATAATAATAATAATAATAATAATAATAATAATAATAATAATAATAATAATAATAATAATAATAATAATAATAATAATAATAATAATAATAATAATAATAATAATAATAATAATAATAATAATAATAATAATAATAATAATAATAATAATAATAATAATAATAATAATAATAATAATAATAATAATAATAATAATAATAATAATAATAATAATAATAATAATAATAATAATAATAATAATAATAATAATAATAATAATAATAATAATAATAATAATAATAATAATAATAATAATAATAATAATAATAATAATAATAATAATAATAATAATAATAATAATAATAATAATAATAATAATAATAATAATAATAATAATAATAATAATAGTAATAATAATAATAATAATAATAAAAGTGATAAAATCATGTCTAGACTTCTCTGATCTGATTTGAATGTTTTTGGTTTGATTTGAATGTTTCTGATCTGATCTGAATCTTTCTGGTCTGATCTGATTCTTTCTAATCTGAATAAAATAAAAATAATCAATAAGTAATAAGAATAAGACGAAGACAACAACTTCTTTGTCGTAAATAAATTTCACTCTGCATATTTTTTTACATATCAAATTAGTAATCATTAATTAAATTATAAGTAATATTTTCTTTAATTTTTCTTGAATACCTTTGAAATAAAAAAATGCACATTTCAATGTTAAAAAATAAAGTTTGTTAAATATTGTTTTGACTTTTTCTGGTTAATAAAAACTAAAATGGGTACAAGTAAAGTTCGCTTACTTGTGGAGGCACCATAAATTAAAATTTTGTGTTTCGTGTTTGTTTGGGACTATAAACTCTAGTAGATGAAACTTTGAATTATTTTTAAAATTTTATATATACAACTAGTTTAGTAACGCGCGTTGCGCGTTCGTGGTGATGCCCAAGACCATTGTAGGGATATTAATTCCTCGTTAATGTTTCTTCGCGCTTAAACTACTTATTCATCACTTCCTGTTTCACAAGAATATATTTCTACATCATCCCTACTCGCACATACAAAATATCATAAGGCTGTCAAAGAGTATCAAGCCATGTGAAAACAAAATGGTTAAATACCCAAGCTGTTGCTTATCTTACTTAGAAGTCACAACCGAGTAGACAAATAGACTTTCATCACTATAAGGATGA